TTAATAAAATCCCTGCGCACTGTTAAATAAGTACCGTATCGACAGTATCCGCGACTTTTCCTGAATCTACCGATTGCAGTCGAGTACGGTATAATCAACACTAGACGCGACACCACTGTCTTTTTTTTTACTCGGCAAACCTGGTAAATTCATACCCATACAAAACATAAGCATTTCCAATGCTAAAATTATTGGGTAAATGGGTTATGCTTATGAAGAATCGCTGGAAAATATTTTTAAGTTCAAAAAATGATCACTAGAGGGCGTAACTGCCATCTTAAACTTTAAAATTGCATTTTCTTTAAAATTCGCATAATAAACTTAAAAAAAAATTTTTCACATTTTTAAAGAGAACCAGTTTATCTATCATTTTCGTAAAAACAAAAACTCAGTTATTTAAAAAACAAAGATGGTGTGGGGCGTTTAATTGTTTTTGCAATAACCTGTTTTAACTTCTTAACGGTTTGACCGATTTTAACAAATTTGGTATCGTTGAAAAGAGCATTCCTTGTGCAATAAGAATCAATCAAATTATAGTTAATTTAGTTGAATCCTTCTCCGCCAGGGGGCAAGTTTTGACACTACGATCCAAAATCCTAAAAAAATCAAAAAAATCAAGTGGAATGATATGACTTTTTGTTTATGAAAGAGTAGCCAAATAATACCCAAAGAGGCCAGGAAAACCGTTTTTCAAAATCTCGTTCCTAACCTCAAATATTGGGATAATGAGATTAATTAATTAAAATGCTTAAATTGAATCTTATTGGACGTATTTCCGGTATTTGCCGATTTCTAACCAAGAAATATTTAATATGCTGGCGGCGATGGTTCGTTGTCGATTCGGATAACGCAAATAGAAGATGTGGGCAGCGATGGTCGCATTTTGAAAATACTCAAAATATATCGCCAGCATATTAAATGCTTCTTGGTTGGAAATCGGCATTTTAGAAAAGACTACAAATTCAAAACTTTCTGAATGTAAACACAGCAGAATAATTTACAAATTACGGCTGTTATTATTTTATAATGCATTTGAATTTGTGCGGAGCATTTGAATTTTTGAATAACATAATAATAATCCAATTTCTAGACAAAGAACAAACTACTGTCACTAGTTTAATACTGCGGGTAGGTTATTTTGGCACGAACAAAGAAAAATTAAGTTCTTTTACAAGTTGCTTGACTTAACATTTATTGTTGACTGCGATACATTGTTCCATTGCTAATATCTCAGGCGACGTACGTCCCTTACGTTGTTTATATTCATTTTCACGATAGTAAATCACGGTGGAATGATAAAAAAATAGTAACCATTTCCTACACCTGTGCGTAATGACGAAAATTAGAATAGATCATGTACGTTTGGAAGTGATAATTATCTACAAATTTTACAACTGTCAACAGACGTCGTTTTGGGGTTTTCCTTCTTTTAATTTCGGAATTCACGGAGGTCATAGAAAAAGTATGTAGGTACGTAATTCGGTTGTAAGTTGTGTATTACAGGTTAGCAGAATTTTTCTACTCACATGCTGTAATACGCACTATTACAACCGTATGACCATTGAATATCCAACTCCTCGGATATTCAATGGTATGACGTAATATTACTATTTTGAATGTTTATTCGTTTATGAGCAAAGTAAGTCAGTAATTACATGTATACTTGTTATAGGATCAGATCTTAAGGCGTTGAGTGAAAAATAGTATCTAAGGCATTGAATAAAAAATTTTTTTATTCAATGTCTAAGGCAAATACAGTCTAAAGTGACGCCCCAAAGTGGGACAGTTTTAAACTAATTAGCAGCTTTCCTTTTTAAATGCCAATTTTATAATTGTTGGAAACTATTGTATAAAATGTAGAATATGTTTTTATATTACAGAGAGGTGTGTAGAAGAATCATATGTATAAGAAAAAGCAATTATCCAGTTTTGGAATTCGCAGTAAGCTGTCGCTGTGGTAGTAGCTATCTCGGTATTTCGAAGTAAAGAAAAATGAGCGATTGTTGCTAAAGGTTGTGACATTGTTTAAATATTTAAATAATGATTGTGAATAAAGTAAATATTACAACAAATTAGGTATTATCAGTGTGTCATAAAAATGTAATATATGTATAATGGCTTTTTCTAATAAATTATTATTATCTATTGAACACAAGGAAATGATTACGGCAACGCCAAAGTATATGGCCATTGTTAACGCAAACTTTCCTAGAAAATATCCTCAACGCATCATAAACTGAAGTTCCGAGGAAATGTATTTTAGTTAATCCTTTCCCGTCCAAGTTTTACCCAGATTTACCTTTCCTAAGAATTTTCTTGCATTCAACAAAGACCCTGTCTTTCATCCCAGAACCTTTTAATTTCATTGTGAATATTTCCGACTAACCCCTTTTACCCATCTCGCCCGAAACAGGCATGGCCTGCCAATTTAGTGCAGTTCTCATTAATGCCACTCACGGCGGTGTTGCTAACATGGTTAGGCAACACATCATACACGTAAAGGCATAATATTGCGCCAGAGATTTCGTTTTTGACCAATGTAATATCAAAGAGTAATACACAAACACTACCATTGTTCATTCATTATGTTTTTCATGAATTATATGAAAGAGTAATGGTTACTCTTTGATTATATATTATTTGTGCAATGAGCTATTTGGCCCTTTTTGAGGTTTTGCAGTACAATTAAAGGCTAAACATACGTAACCATTGCAATTTTAAATTCAATTCATTATTATACAGATCATCACTAAAACACGCACGATAAAATTACTTACTACAAGTTTCTGAAACGTTCCTGCCACGCGTACAACAAAGACCACAAATAAAAAATTCATTTCGTTGTTTATTACACCACGATTCATTCATCAAAAACATTGTTGTGTTTTTCTGCAACTGCCATGCCACAAAACTATAAATGTAGCTCAACAGGTAAGAAAATACCTCGATACCAAAATTTACCCTACAATATTTTGCGCATCGGTCGTTTAAACCACAGTGACTCAATTTAGAACAGTGGCGACAACCGGGTATCTGGTTTTTGATTGGTCGTTTGTTCCGGTTGCCATATTGGGGCTATACTTTGGTACCTATAGGAGTTTACAGTTCTTGCGAAAATTCTGTGAATAAAGATCAAAGGTGTTGCTTAAGGTGAAATGTTTATTGCGGGCATTCGGTTCTATATCGACTTACTTTGGAGTATTTAAAGTCAATAGAAATTCATTATGAAGAGATGATTATGCTGCTCAAATGTGATCATAAATACGTTTGAATTGGATTACATTTTAACATTGCTGATTGCTGAAGCACAACGAATATTGATTTTTTGTATTCCGTGGACTAAATCAACGTCTTCCATTTAAGGGACTGAAGTGACACTTTTTATTCCGGAAGGAGAAAAATGCGACGAGGGACAAAAAGTGACAGAACACACTGAAATTTAATTTAATGATTAATGGATACCTTTATACGTACATTTAGGGTACGTTCCACTTAACGCCCGCAACGACCACGACGCCCGGCAGCCGTTCCACATAACGACCACAGTCGTTATGGTCGCAATCGCGACGTCAGATATGACGTCATTACTAGCGACCGCAACGAGCCCACGGCGCTCGCCTATCGTACCTGGGTCAGCGTGGGCGTTCTAATTTTATAACCTTACATTCTTGACAGGAGACATTTCTAGAGACATTTAACTGTCAGACACTGATTGTTTGAACACGCATGCGTTACAAATTTTTCGTTTTCGCTATGGAGAAAATATAATTACGTGTTTCAGAACGTAACCTTGTGGTGGACATTACACTATGGATGTTCTACATGCACAAACTGGTAAGTATATATGCTGATTCCTCAATGTTAAAGTTATTTTTTTAAGGAAAATTCTGCTTTAACACAATTTTCTTTACTGTAGATCTTAGATTTGCAACTAGTTTGCTGCAAAGTGCTTTACCAGGGAATGCGAATGAGAATGAATGAATGAAGAAGAGAAATTGTTTTCGAAGCAGCATTCCCACAAGAGATTCTGGGGAGAAGTGTTCATTATCATCGTATTAAGTATGGCCGCAGCATTTATGATAGAAATTCAAAAGTCGTCTTCAATATTTTATTAACAAGAAGCAATATCTTGTGTAAAGCGAAGAAGTAGTCAATAATTGGTACCGAAAAATAAAAAAATATTTACTAACTTAATGTGACTTTTGAATTCATAATCCACCCCACTTTGTATCCTTTACGCATTACGATCTCCTCAACGGCGTCCATGTTGGAAAACTGTTCACTCACGCGTGACGTCACACCGTACTCAAAAGCGTTCCACTTAAAGGTTTCGCCCACAACGCCTCTAAGCTAGTGGAACGACAAAAGTGCGGTCGCGGTCGTGATCGTTACGGGCGTTAAGTGGAACGTACCCTTAGGATATTGCACTATATTTTATATTTATTATACCGTTTTCCATATATTTTTCAATTTGAGAAGCAGTCGTTTCCTCATAGCGCGTTCTGCAAAGTTTTAAACGATCATTTCTGGCCCGTTAGCTTTGAAAGAGAATCTTTTAATGACTCTGACATTTATTATTATACTGTCACAATTTGACATGACAAGGTATATTGATCCTACAATCAAACAATTTTTTAGTCCCAAAATGGCAGATTATAATAAGTTGTAGCATAGTGTAAGCGTAAATTATGGTTGTAGCCACTGTCCTAATACAGTCACTGTAGTTTAAACCAATTGTATTTATTTTATTATAGCGGTTTATAACCTTTTCTATGGACCATGTATCTATAAGTGTGCGCTTTCAGTTAGTCAAAAAATGTTGAACAATATTTTTAAAAAACAAGCCCAGGAGGCGATGTAATACCTAGTAAAAACAAATAATGAGCATTGGAGCAGGTGCTGTCTTGCCTTTGCTACAAATGATTTGTACTTACCTTGTAGAATAGTGCATTGGTGTCAGCGTAGTTCCAATTACCCGCGTCATTGGAGCTAATTTATGTGACGTTTGCGGTTACGTTGAAAGTGAAAAGTTGTGACAGTTTGTGAAATCGTAAAGTTTGTATCTTTGTTCAAACAAATTCAACTTTAATTGTGGAATTACATACCAATTGCATTTATTTCGTCACCCAAGGTAAAGCAATTAATAATTTTGCATTTACGATAACGTTCTACTCCTCTATTTATAGGTATGTCCGAACTATTAAAATTAGATGAGAGAGATTGCACAGATCTATGCAAGTCTATACAACATGCCGATCTTATTTGTGGAGCATTAACGAAAAGGCAACCGCTAGACTGCCATATATGCGCATACTTGCAGCTGTTATGCTGTCGTTGTGAAAGCGTCAAGGATAGATTGGGCCGGACTGCATTACACATCGCCGCCTCCTGTGGACGATCAAACGTAATTAAATGGCTATTGAAAGTCAAACACGCCAATATCAATGCAAAAGATTACGAATCTGGTTACACTCCTTTGCACAGAAGCATATTTTATGGGAAAATTGATGTTGCTGTTCATTTGATAAAATTAGGTTTGTAGATAGATTTTTACTTTAGCCAAAACGTTGTTTAATGTGTTGATTAATTTAAGAACATTTCAGGTGCAAATTTTGGAATTACCGATTTTAATGGATTGACCAGTCTGGAACATGCAATGAAGGATTCATGGAGAACATCGGGTCTGCGGGAAATTAAGCACGGCGAGGTTTATGTTTGGGGTTCAAACACAAATTATACCTTCGGAAGTCAAGAAACTCGAGTTAATCCGGAATTGCTGTACGCATTTCACAAGGAGTACCCAAATATCACTGTGGGGCATATTTGTCTAGAGAAATTTCATTGCTTAATATTAACATCAGATGGGAAGGTGTATGGTTGTGGTCACGGACAAGGCGGTCGTTTGGGCTTAGGATCCGAAGGCACTGTAATAACGCCTAAGCAAATTAAATTAGCTGCTAGTGGCCATGCGAATCCTGTATTGTGTAAGAAAGTTAGCATATCTATCGATCACAGCATATTTTTATCCCAATCTGGACATGTAAGTAGTTTCCAGCGTAACTTGAATATATCTCAATTTTGCAAGGTCTGGACAACTGGCCTAAACAGCTATAGGGTACTAGGAATTCAACCTCCACCGACCAAATCTTTAATACCAGTTCCTTTGCCACTACTTCCAGATACGATCGAAGATGTTGGCGCTGCAAAGTATCATTCGATAGCGTGGGGTTCTACAGCAGTATACACGTGGGGCTTGAACGCAGGACAGTTGGGTCATGAGAAAACCAGTGACAAATACATAATTGCTCCAAAATTGGTTTCGTGCACATTTGGAGTTGATATTAAAATTAAAATGGTGGCAGTCAGTAACGGGGCTACTGCCGTTTTGACATCTAAAGGTGATATTTATGTACTTCATGAGTATCATTGTCGGAAAATTTTAAAAAAGTAAGTAATAGTTTGTGTGTTGTGGCATGTTATCTTTTCTGTATTGCTTTCTTGATTATGTTTCTTTTTACTTCAAGAAAGTATATAAATGTTTTATTATTGTATAATAAAACCAAACTAGACATACGGGCCTACCACCTATGTTTTATTAGGAAACCAGTTTGTTATTGTTTTCTGTTTGTCCATTTTTTTTGCTTGATTGTTATGAGAATGTAGTAATATTCTTCAAGGCAAAAAACCGAAAAGAAATTTGTACCGACTCAAAAAACCAGTAGTCTCGTTTTTAGTTGATCTCATCATATAGGTTGGTAACAATGCTCCGTATTTTAAGACTACACTATAGTGAGCATATTTCGCATACATACCACCAAAAATGTGGTATTTTACGTTTACGTTTGAGGTATTATCTAGAGGGTCATTCTTGACAAGCGTCAGTTAGAGAGATATGGAGAACCTTATTTGAAAATGAAACTAAACTTTAAGGGTTTTGGCACATGATGAATTGAAGGGAAATATTTTCAAGATGGCGCCACTTCCGCAAATACCGAAAGTAGTCATCAACTTTGTTATTTTACCCTGACGGGGACGATTAATTTTTAACTTTTATTATTAATTTTTCGAAGCCGTTCGGATATTATAACATCTTGTAAGTTTTATCACTCTTGTGAGACAAATTTGTAATTGTACATAGGCCTGATGAATACAATTAAAGATTATTCCAAGTGTATGGGGAAGGTTTTGTGTTCACTTTCTAATAATAACTGTCCCGTGCGACTCTTTCGAGATCAGTGAGCGACGGGGCCGGGAGGGGGGGGGGATTAATTTTATCTCTCATTGTATTCTAATTAAAGGGTTCAACGAAAGAAACAGTTTTCTACAAACTATTGCTCTTCTTTTTGTCCTCTTAGCAAAGTACGGGGTGGAGGGGGACTACTTTAACCATAGTTTTCCTCCTCGATCCCTTGAAGAAGAAATATAACCATTGGGCATTTAAATAAAGTTTGATACATAGCCACTTGGAATAAAAGCAAATGTAGCGCCATTTTTTTAATTCGGTTTTGCTCATGCGCAGTGCCAACTTTCTTATTTATGGAGGCATTTAAATAAAATTTGATACATAGCCACTTGGAATAAAAGCAAATATAACAACAGTTTCAAAATTGGGTTTTGCGCATGCGCAGTGCTTAGCCACTTGGAATAAAAGAAAATTCAACACCAGTTCCAAATTTGGTTTTGCGCATGCGCAGTGACAACTTTCTTATGTATGTAGGGATTTAAATGAAATTTGATACATAGCCACTTGGAATAAAATCAAAATAACGCCAGTTTAAATTGGGTTCTGCGCATGCGCAGTGGCAACTTTCTTATTCATGGAGGCATTTAAATGAAATTTGATGCATAGTCACTTGCAATAAAAGAAAATTTAACACCAGTTTCAAAATTTGGTTTTGCGCATGCGCAGTGCCAACTTTCTTATATATGGAGGGATTTAAATGAAATTTATACATAGCCACTTGGAATAATAGCAAATGTAGCACCATTTTCCAAAACAAACATACAAAAAAAAAATACGTAGGGCACATATTTACAAAACCAAGAACTATAAACAATTGACTACAGTTGCACATGCGTAGGTCAACATTTTAAGGTTTTTCATAAAGTATTTTGTACTACCTACATTTTCAATTCATTTCCTTTGGAAAATGAATGTTATTTTAAATTATTGTATTCCAAAATAATGATTGATGTACCCAAAGATATTATAAACTTTTCATTTTCAGCCAATTAAATCTAATTTCCATAAGTGTCATTGGTGGAAAACTAAATGAAAAGCTGGATAACAGTTTAACAGAGGCGAATCATGAACTAAAGATTGTCGCATTGAGTAACGTCGGCAATTTATATCTATGGCAAAGTTCTTCGCCCCAGTTCGCTCGATGCATTTATTCCATAAATCGTTCCTTGAGTATTCGTCAAGTCACCTTTAACCTAAATGAAATTTTATTTGTTACAAATGATGGTGAAGCATTCAAGGGGATCGTTAAGCCGAGGAAGATAAAAATGATCGAAAACAACTTGCAAATTCAGAAGAGTGATTTTCACGAATTTATAGACTCAGGCCAACTAATTAAGTTGAGTAAGATTCATCACGTACATCGAGCTTTGTCGATTAGTAGTGATTTTAAAGGACGAAACTATGCCGTTTTGCAGGTAAGTATTTTGCTTTTAATTAATCAATTTCTGATCAACGATTGTAGGCAAACCCCAACACTTTTGTGAAAAGGCCGCCAGTGGTTTCCCCTTCTGTTATGAAGCAAGACATGTTTATGTTTTTACACGAAACTGCCGAAGATGATGCTATTAACGACGTAATTTTTAGGGTATCAAAACGATATTTTCCTGCACATCGTTACATTATAGCATCGGGCGGTGGTAAATTACTCGATGTAGTGAACGCAAGCCAAGATCTAGTGGTAGAATTAGTAAACATAAAACCCGAAATTTTTCAACAACTCTTGATGTTTATATACACTGGTACCTGTGACCTTCTGAACAGTTGTAAATGGGAAATCAACTCTTGTGAGTGCGATCAACGTGAGCGAGACACTGGAAATGTTTGTTCCGGAAAAGATCCAGTACGGTTATTGCAAGAGGCTGCGAAGAGATTTGGTCTAAAAGGGTTACAGAATATGTTAAACAATGTTTACTATGAAGACGGCTGTGTTTATGTAAAAAACACGAACGTACAGGTAGAATTGCGAAAATTTAATCGGATGTCTTATCCAGGCTTACATGATGTAGTTTTAAAAACAAAGGATGGGATTGAAATGCAAGCAAATATTTGTATCCTGTCTGCACGTTTAGAGTACTTCAACAATTTATTTTCTGTGAGATGGAATCAGGTAAATAATATATTTTGCATGCGTAGTAAATGTACACTCATTGTTTTAAATTTGATTTGGTTGACAATATTACTATTAAGGATAAAAGCTGCAAGTTATGTGTACCTACCGGGCCATGTAATTAATAACTTTCGGATCAAGGCTAACATGATGTGGGGTCGGTGAGTGTCTTTTGAGTCAGGCTCCCAAAAGTTACATTCCGCTGTGAATTTTGCCACACTGCACGCTTCTCTACCACTAATTAAAAAATTGAAACTATGTTGCCAACCTACAAACCAAAAAAATTTTCTTCACTTGAATATTTAGTAACTTAATATCGACCTTCATATAATGTAAAATAAATATAGTGTGAAATTCTTTTTTTTAGGATTCACGTACTAAACACATTACGTTACCATTTCCATCTGCAATTTTATTACAACTAATCGAATTTTTATACACCGACGAACTGCCATTGCTCAGGAAGGAGGATGTTGATCACATATGCCAGCTGTTAATACTAGCTGATCAGTTATTTGTAATAAGACTAAAAGAGATATGTGAGCATACATTAACTTCTTTTGTAACATTAAAAAATGTTGCCCAAATGATCTCGTTTGCGACAATCTATAATGCAAACCAGTTGAAAAATTACTGTATGGAGTTTGTATGTGTCAATTTATCCTGTATATTAGAATCGAAGTGTCTAGAAACTCTAGATGACGAAGAATTATGTGATATTACAAATTTTTATTCAACATTTCACCCCATTATGGAATGTCGCGTGATTACTCCATACTCCTATGCCCCATCCGATGAAGTATTACTTGAAGCAAATAAAATATGTGAGATTTCATTCAATGAAGAAAGTATTAGTGATAAACACGCATCTAAAACACAAAAGAAAAGAACAAGAATCAGAAAGACTAGTACCAAGGAGATTGCTGTAAATAAAGAGTATGACCACTTTCCCACCTTTAGTTCGCCTGAGAAAATCGAATTGGAAAATATTGAGGAAAAGCAGACTATAGAGACCTACGAAATACGTAGAGTGAAATCTAGGCTGAAAGCTTTAGAAATGGCAAAGGAGATTGTTAATTGTGATAATTCTATGCAAGAATATACTAAACTACCTTTACGTCACCGTACCATAAGTATAACGCCAATGGACTTTCCAGAACTAACTAAAGATTATATCCCGACTTCGCCCACGCCCAAGTCTTCCAAAGTGGAGAAAGTAGAAATTAAACAAAAAATCACCAAGCTGTCTCAGAAACAAAGAAAACGACTGTCGTCTGAGAGTAGCGTGCATAGTTTAGACACTTCTAGTGCGAACATAAACCTTTCTGGTGAGTTTCAATCTTGAACGCCGCAAAATGGCCAATTCTGATTGCAGAAAGTCCAAGAAATCCTTGGAAAATACCTTCTCCTCCATTAAGCAGTTCTCCTATAGAAGTTTCATATGCTACCACTGCAATGCATTCTATTATTGATGAGGAACGAAAACAGAAGCAAAACTTTGTCAAGATGAAGTCCAAACTACTAGTTCACACTCAAGTATGTATACCTTAAGTATCTATCATAAATTAACGCTTGCCGCAGTATTTGATTTGCTAATAATTATTCATTCCAGATAGAAGACAAAGCAATAGAAGAGTTAGACAAATTTTATAATGCTGGCAATATCTCTGATGAAATTATTACTATTAAGAGAGTGCAAACTGGATTAATTGCGTCGCCTGTATGGGTGAAATAGAGTAATGGCTATGTTACAATATCATTATGTGCTGTAGATCTGTGAAGTGATTTTTAAAGAGGTTTTTGTGTATTTAATGAATAAATACAGAAGATGAAATGGGAAAACTATTATAATGCTATGTGAAACTATCAAATTGGTTTTCTGTAACGTAGGATTAGGATCAGCCTAAGGCTGGAACCACATGATACGTGATTTACGGACGCATTGTTACCACGTGACCGTTAAAAACCAATGAAGATCGCTAAATCTCATAACTCAATGGTCACGTGCTAACAACTCGTCCGTGAATCACGTATCATGTGGATCCAGCCTGAGAGTCTTATGCCTGTTATCTGTGATAAAATGAATGTGAAGATATATGTATTGAAATGAGCAGATAGGTTCACTAATAGTGTAAACTTAAGGCTTGTGTATTGAATTTTCATTGCTCTTTAAAAGTTACTTATTTATTGTTTTTGTGTTAGTACCTAATTAACTTAATTTTGTGTTGTGTCATATAATTATGCATATACGTGTGTCGCAGTGAGCCAACTTCAAAAGAAAGGTAGGCAATATTTGTCTGATGCGAAACTGGTTTACAGAAAGCTGATCAGAACTTGCAGTTTAATTTTTTAAATACTTTAAGCATTACTATTTCTAAGTAGGTACTTTACCTATTTTGTACAAAATATGTGGTAGACATTTTGTATAATTCATCATTTTATAGAATGCCTAGGCATTTTATAAAACGCGGGCAGATAGTTAAATGAATGTGTTAGAGCTCGTTTTTTATAATCTGCCGGTCTCTTTTCAGGCATTTAGTAAGAGCCTAAATTTATTAAGTCATTTAGTAAGTGACTGAATTTATTTTAGTCATCTAATTAAATACTTCGGGAACGAATTTGAAAGCGTGGTCACTTACCTACTTTTCCTACGTGTTTGGGGTTATTGACAGTTTGATTATTTGTGTATTTGAACCTCGTGCGTGAAAAATGGAAATTAAAGAAAACATCTACAACAGCTTAGATGCTTTTTATTCTAGTAACTAATTTATTTAAAACTTAATGAGTACCTACATTAAACATGTTGCCATTTTATAAACTGCCTAGTCATTTCGTGAAACAATTTGACGTGCGAGGCAGTTTCTTCCTCTTCATAAGGGATGCCATTTATTGATTTCGAAGGGGAAGGAAACTAAATCGCTTAGTCCTAAAAAGTACACTGTGTTACAGTTTGCCCATAGACAAATCACATTGTCTATGAGTTTGCCTGCGTTTTATAAAATGATGGATTTTACAAATGCCTACGACAACACGCAATTCAATATTTAGTCACTTACTAAATGCCTGAAAAGCAACCAGCAGATTCTAAAATGCGAGCACTAACGCATCCATTTTATTATCTGCCCGCGTTTTATAAAATGACGAATGATACAAAATGCCTACCACATATACACAGGGTGAGTTTTTTTCATTTTAAGCATTGGGATCTCAGAAACCATAAGACATACGGATTCGGTTAAATGAAGAAAGAGATGTCGTTTTAAGAGCTTATTTAAGATAATAATAATAATAATGTATATTTTGCCCAACAATCCACAGTTCACTAGATATGAGCGAAAAACAGATTTAGTATTTCTCATTTAACTGTTGTAGAATCGTTATTATTAGAAATACAAGAAAATGACACGAATAAAAGTTTTAGACATTTTAATGATTAACATGATGAACATACTAATTTATTTTTAGATCTTACAATTTCTAAGTTATAATACAAACTTTAATTTTTTTAAATGGGAGTCATAGTTGGCTTTGACATTTTTAAAAAAGACAAATTTTTCTCTTTATAACGATATAAGGCTTGCTAAATGTACTTTAATAGATAAACGCCCTGCAGTAATTATTTCGTATTATTGAGAGGTAAGTAAACAGAGTTGGCCATGGAAAACAATATCATTTACGACGAAAATTGGACAGGCCAATGTTATCTTCATTTTCTACCAAATGAATTTCATGATATGTAGGATGGGTTAGATTTGGAAACACGACGTAATTTACGCTGGTTTCAACACAACGGTGCCCCACCGCACAACTAACTGCAAGTTAAATATTATAATAGGCAGTAATTAAGAGAACAAAAATGTTTCCCATGGTAAAATCTGTTTTTACTACTCTTAATAATACAAACAGTTCTGTATCATGTTTATTTGTCAAAATAAGTACAATGAACCTTGTATCATTGTAAACAGAAAAAAATGCACTTTTTAAAAATGTCACAGCCAACTATGATTACCATTTAAAAAAATGTAAGTTCGGGTTATAACTCGAAAATTATAAAAGAAAAATAAATATTATTAAATGTATCTTATTAAGTGGAAAAAAATCTACAATTTTTGTTCTTTACATATTTCTGTATTTCTATAATACTAACGATTCTAAAAGAGATAAAATAAAAATCACTAAATCTGTTTTTCGCTCATATCTAGTAAACTGTTGATTTTTTTAAAAAAACAAAAGCATATCTTGAATCAGCTCTTAAAACGACAACTCTTTCCTCATTTAACCGAATCTCTATGTCTTACGGTTTCCGAGATCCTAATGCTTAAAATGAAAAAAAACCCTGTATATTTGGTACAAACCTTGTTGTAGTAGTATCGCAGTGTGATGCGTTTTATTTATTAATGTATATAAAATTTTATTTTTTGTATATTGTGTTAATTGTAACAGCTTATTTGCAGGACAATAAAAGTCTGCTTCAATATGACTGACTAGAATTATATCACAGACTTTCAGTTCAATTGGCTGGTAAAAATAAGATAATCAGACCGAATAATTCATGTAGTTTTGAAAGTTGGAACAGCTATGAACGTACTAAAAGTCCCAGAGAGTGAGGGGTAAACCGGCGTCGAAGGAGGGGGTGAAAGGTCCTTTTTTCAGTTTTCTGCTTGTATCTGGAAAACTATTAACATCTTTATAATTATTTCTTCATTAATTTTTTTATAATTATTTCTATACGTTTTTGCTTAGGTCAATACTGAGGAACTACAGGGTATCTAAGCTGAAAAACAAATACAATTAGTTAAATTTTTAATTGCGAAAAATAAAAAATGTTATACAATTATGCCGACCTTCCCTCATCGGTACATCCTCCTAGGTAGTCGTTGCAGATAAGACTGCAGTTAATGACAAGTGTTCTGCAACTGCACTTGCCAGAAGTTTTCGTCGACTCCTCGCTTCCAATCCCACATTTTAGGAGCTCCCTCCAAAACTAAACAAGATCCCGCTTACATTTGAAAAGTAGCACGTGATCAAATATCTAAGACATGGCCCCTTTACGTTAGTTGTAAACAACGCTATGATCGGGATCGTAAAATAAAACACTGAAATTATGAAGTTTGTTTAATAATGATCGTTATTATTAAGATTGTGAAAGCTCGAAAATTTAGTCGAAATAAATTACATTGCAAGAATAAACTTTGGAAATGGTGGTTCACCATGTAAAAACAGAAATAGCCCTCAAATCAGTACAATTGTGGAGCAAAATAAATTGTTTATAATGATATGAATGCATAACATAAAATTATAACAAAACATGTAGACTTGTAGAGCAAGATGGAAAATTACATGAGCTTGTAGGGCAAATTCAATGTTACGACAAATATGTGGATATCAGTGAATCGCAACTCATATATCTCACATAGATTCTCAACCGAAGAGTTTTTATTAGCAAAATCTTGCCCCCAAGATATGTAACTCGCCCCTCGTTCGGGGTTTCCACCCTACAGTTGAATGTCGGAACACGGTCACGGAATTAGGTGTCGTAACTCATTTCATTACAGTTTTTGCCACCCCTGTGACTCCTTCATTCACGGAGAAAATGTTAGTTTACAAACAACAAACAAACAAATCAGTATACATTGCCACATATTAAAAAAATGATCAAAACTTTTATGAATATTACTTCTTTTCAAAACCATGTTGTAATCAAAACAAAAACATAAATTAATAAGCAAGCAACACCAAAAACGGAACAAAAGGATAACGGTATCAAATGTGGGAGTCTGCGTTACGGTTAAATCAAGTCAATTTGATTAAAAAAAAAACGCTGCATACAATAAACAAATACGATATAAAAAAAGATTAATTACTACCTGCATTAAATAATTAAATACAACAAACATTTACGGAACGATTGCGAATTTGGTAGATATTCTTAGACATAAAAAGGAAGACCTGTAAAGCTATTGGGCAGAATCGCGCGTGCGCAGGTGTTATCTGTGCTAGCCACAACAAATTAACGTTCATGTGTTTAATAAATAATTAAATTTATTATTTGTTATTCCAAAGGAATTGAATGAAAATTTTTGCAATAATACGAGGGCCGTTTTTTTTTCAACCTCCGGTGGGGTATAAATAATAGACAAGTAAAGAGAAAAAATTGTTTTATTACCAAAATGTACGTAAACTATGCTTATTGCTCAACATAATCACCATGAAGATTGAGGCATTGGTATACCTGTGGACAAGCTTTCCAATGCCCTCTTCTTAAAATGGTACCGCCAGTGAATTGAAATGAGTCTTTTTGTAGCCTAAATGTTCGGTAACAATAGAGTGCAGAGAAGATCTTGACACTTCTGGAAATTTCACAGACAAAGGACTTATTGTGAATCGACGGTTTTCTTTAACCACTTTGTCAACTCATTCAAAAATGTCTGTAACGACAGACTTGCGTCCTTGACCTCCTTCATCATGCACGTCAGTTCGGCCATCTTTAAACTTAGGGCATCATTCCCGTACAACACCATCACTCATAATGTTTTCTGCGTAAACGCGGCATATTCTCCGATGGATTTCTGCTGCACTATTTCCTTCTGCTTGCAAGAAACGAATAACACTTCTCAACTTGGCGGAGAATCAATAGACGCGGCAATGTTTATGCGACTGCAGCTCAGCACAAGCTGGCTACTTGAACTCGGCAGTGACATATGTTGTGGTGGGGAAGGTTGAAAAAAAACGGCCCTCGTAATTAAGTCATATTATTACTCTTACATGCATTGAAGGTCACATATGTGCACATTGCACAAAAGTGAAGGATCTCCAAGAGCGGATTGTATCACAATAATAGAACGCCAGGGTTGCCAGATGTCAGGCATTCAGCCGGAGTCTCAGGTTTTACATCGTGCTCTCCGGCCCCCGGCAGGCGCTACTATAACTCCAGCAGAGCAATAAATTTCAATTCAATACTTTTCAAATAGGTCAAACGATTCCTTTTTAAGCACCTAGTAACCACCTGTCGGTGTGCAAGTGTGTGTGATTCTTGATGAATCAACACCATTACGTTGCGATGAATTTACCCTTATATTACTTATATTGCAAGAATGTATAGTTTGTTTCATTTGTTAACGTATACCAATTGAAAATAAAAAAATTGTTAAATTTGGAGGTGTACAAGTTGTTACTGGTAGGATTAAAAAACATTGGCGGAGGGGGGGGGGGTCGCAATGTAGTCCGGCAGACGGCCTTACGCAATCTGGCAACCCTGTAGAACGCCTATGTTATCACTTTAATTTCCCCCAAGATAGTAATTTTTTTTAGAAATAGTACCAAAAAATGCTCATTCTGAGCTTACTGGCTTTGTAAAGTGAAGGCTCTTTCCACTCACGTCTGTTTATGTAAGGAGAGATCATAAGTTTAAATGCAAAACGAAGCATTATAAAATTGGACAACACTCTAATGAGCACTTTTAAATCCAATACCGCGATTAGCCAAAATTAATAAAAAACCGGGAAGGAATGCCCTTATTACACTATACGGTGCAGCGCGCGCACACACAGGAGAGGAAATTGTACTCGATAATAATTGCAAATTTTAATTGTGCTTCCATCAAACTAATGTTATGAGCTGTGCAGTTTGAAATCTTATATTTTCTTACCATTGTTATTTTTTTTATTTTCAAAAACAAAACTTGGATTGATCAGTTTCAGGTTCCAAGATGCTCCGATAAAAAGATAAATCATAATCAAACTTTTTTACCTCCATATAGGTCACAAAAAGTCCACAATCATCAAATTCCATGCTTTTATGTAAGTAGTAAGTATGCTGCTGAAGATCTCAAAAAAATAACGCAAACTTTGGGAACACAAGGAATGCCTAAGTGAAGCTTTAGACGCCTTAATTTATTCGGCTTGGTCAAATTTTTACACTATTATGGTGCACCCTGTGTATATTGATACTAAGCATGGGAGTTTGATAAACCACTAAATTTCAGTTACTAATATAAAAGTCTGGAACTATTAATCTAATAAGACAATACAAAAATAGTATATTGAGCATTTAGAAACAAATATAAAATAAATTCATAAATTAGGACTAATGGCCGTATAATTTTTGTGCTTGGGTTTGCAGCTGTTTCACTATCAGAGGAATGGCACTCAAAACTTCTTCCTGTGTCCAATACGGATTATCCCTTTGAATAATGTTCTTCAAAGCTACCCTAATACGAGGAACTGGAACAGTATTTATCCATTCTGAAAAATTAGTGTAGAAGTAGTTTACAATTGCTAATTGACACTTACCTAGGCTACTAGTGTCAATAGCAGGCAGATCTAATTTTTCCCTTTCAAACTCTTCCCAAGCGGCTTTCCGTTCTGCTTCATTCAATTCTTCCACTTCAATATTTTCGAGTAAAGATTGATGTTCGTGGTACTTATAAATTCGATCGCTTTCCATTTGTAATAATTCACCCAACAGTTTGTCTTTTGGCACCAGAGGTATTACGGTATCAGTCGGTTCTGGATCAAACCTACAAGATAAGATGAATGTATAAACATGAAATCAAGAAAGCGAAAATGTACATGTATAATTCTGCTAGTTCGTCTTGATTATAATGTCTATCAATCTGTTGCTCATCGATAACTCGTTTCGAAATCGCCTGCTTTGTCACTTGCCTTTCATAGATCTTCATTTCCATCGTGCCCTTTAAATCAAATGACTCAATTTCTTACATGTGACACAAGAAAATAACACAATTTTATATGATTCAATCACGCATTAATATGTAATGTGAAAAAACAGTACACTTAAGCTGCACAATATTTACTTGTGCAACTTCGTTTTTTCTTAACATATTGTCACTATATATTTATTAACAATTTTTCATTTGTTTCTTTTCATCTTTCCACTTTTTATTATTACTATATTATGCATGTCATCCAGCATACTTTTTCTGGTAGATGACGACTAGTGATTACATTTTACTCTGTTTTGTATTATTACTTACTAATTCTCTTTAACAATTTATTATTCCATCAATATTTAACATGATCATTTGTTAATATCCACTGACGATAGTGTGCAATCATTTTGGAAAAAAAATTTGTGTTATTTCGGAACGATTCCGAAAAGAACGAATCTTTTGCTGATATCTTGTAACTCTAACTTATTGTTTTTTATTATTCTCAGAATATTTGACACCTCAAGGTTTTCAAGTATACATTCTGAGGTACCCGGCCTCAGATGTCTCCAAAAATTCCCAAGTCTGTAAATGGGTTAGCTTTTCAATTGCTTTTCTTTCTCTCAATTATTTATTCTCATTCATTATAACTACATGGGTCAGTATATTTTTGTTTCGACTAGCAACATTGCCAACTTGCCAGAAGATCTGTAATACAAAAAAACCTTCCCCACGAAAAAAAAAACATTTTCTACCAAAAGATGTATGGGGAAGACTTTGATTATTTGAAGGCAAGAATGTTCTCCTCCATGACATCTTTTTTTAACAATATCCATTGCCAAGTTGCTGCTGTAGACACCGTTTTGTTATGACCTACCGCCCAAAACCAAACACACATAAAATTCTATTTATTTTTGTTATATTAGTAAAACAAGAAACTCACATACATGACGAATCTATAGACATAGCACGGTTTCGTTTGTCCAAACCTATAGATCCTGTAGATGCTCTGAACATCATGTGCTGGATTCCAACTGACATCAAAGATAACTACTCTATTGGCCCCCACTAAGTTTATGCCGAGACCGCCAGCCCTAGTAGAGATCAAAAATAACCTGCAAATACATTGAAATCAGTAAAACATTTACACCATATGATAGATACAACATAGACGAGCAAAGCATGCTGACCTTCTTGAGTGTAGCAAGTGTCATAATATTATAACAAAGGCAAGGGAGAGTAGTAGCCTATATTTTCAAATCAAGTATGTTTTTTATAATTATAGACTACTTAAATACAATCTATATAGAATCTTTTCCGTAACAACAATAGGGAATATGCATGTGGTTTAAATTTACTTGATTCTTTCTCCAGCGAATATTTATTGTACTCACATTATACTTAAACCATTAGTTTCTTATTTAGTTTGTTTTTAATTGCTAAAAATGTTAATTCAAAAGTGCAAAATAAGCGAATGAAATTCAAATTTGCGAAACGCTTCACTATTGGACGAATGAAAGTGACGTCAAATGCCACGCGATCGCATTTGTTGTGTCAATACATCGCGTGCATCACGTGATCAAAAAACAGCTGTCAAATCGCTCGTAGGACAAACATACCCTCATTTCATACAGGTTAATATACTATTAAGGAAAAAATTGGAAAATAAACTGAAGAATAAACTTGCGTACGGCAACATAAAACGTTTAAAGTAATTTAATATAGTGTAGCAAGTGTAGTGTAGTAATTATATAGACATAAAAAGTACTTTGAAGGCTTAGGACAATATGCCCAACTTTTGCGCTGTTGCTCAATGTGGCAGTAGAAGTAATAGAGACAAAGTGTCGTTTTTTCGTTTTCCTTCCATATATGACAACAACAAAAAGGTCGATCCTAGAAAAGAACGTAGACGAGAAGCTTGGATATTAGCAACGAGAAGAACAGATCTCACGGACAGTAAATTAAAGTACCAAATGATTTGCTCAAGACATTTTTTGGAAGGTATGTTATTTAGACATTAGCTAAATTTGTTAACTGTGAGAGGTAGAACTATTTGGAAAAGGAACAACAACACGCCAGTAAAAAATAAGAATACTTTGTTAAAAGCATATGACTTACAATGTGTGAAATGTGTCGAAAACAGATTGTTGTTTCCTTTTCTAGTTGGTCTGCTGGAAATATCACGTTACAAAAAAAGTAATAAGACCGTTAATTTGTAGGAAAACCTGCAAAATTAAGTGATGAGAACCATCCAGATTGGATACCATCACAGAATATGGGTTACGACAAACGAAAAGCGAGTATGGAAAGATATAATAGATCCAAGAAACGCATAAAACAAGTAATTGGCACTTTGCAGGTATGTTTTGGCTGTTACCTCTCTAATCTATTTATTTTAAAGGAATCCATTCAGGAACCCCTACTTAACATGGAAATTGCCACTCATTCGGCAGAAGTTTTTGATAATCTAACATCCACACTGGAAACAACTGAATGTACAAACGTAACAGAAAAGGATTTGGAGTATGGATTATTAAAAGCAAATGAAGAGATATACAGACTTCGAAAGGAATTGTCAGTTCATAAATTTAGTATGAGTGATATGAAGGATGATGCAAAATGTAAATTTTATACGGGACTCTCTTTTGAGGTTTTAGAAATTGTTTTTCAACTTGTAGAGCCTTACATAATGATAACGCCTAACACAACTTTATCTAAATTTGAACAAGTAATATTAACACTAATGAAATTACGTTTAAACTTATTATTTACTGATTTAGGTTACCGTTTTAACATATCTCGTTCCACTTGTGGAAGAATATTTAAAAATGTATTGCATGTCCTTTACAAGAAATTAAGGTCTTTTGTACAATGGCCAGAACGAGAATGTTTGTGTGCTACAATGCCCAAATGTTTTAAAGAAAATTTTGGGAATAGGGTCACTGTAATAATAGATTGTTTTGAGATCTTCACAGAAAAACCAAAAAATAAAGAAGCATCTTCTCAACATTTTTCGCATTATAAACACCATCACACTATCAAATATTTTATTGGAATTTCGCCACAGGGCAGTGTTATGTTCATTTCAAAGGCATTTACTGGGCGAAGTAGTGATAAATTTATTACTGAAAATTCAGGGTTTTTAAAAAATTTGCTTCCGGGGGACCTCATATTAGCCGATAGAGGCTTTTTAATTAAAGATAGTGTCAATTTATGCATGGCAGAGGTGCAAATGCCAGCATTTCTAAAAGGAAAAAAGCAGTTGCATCCCAAAGAAGTGGAGGATACTCGTAAACTTGCAAATGTAAGAATACATGTAGAAAGGGTTATTGGGCTTTTACGAAGAAAATATAAAATTACTTCCAATACTTTACCAATGTTTATGGTTCGTTCAAAATATAAAAAAATTCAAACAATAGATAAAATTCTTACAGTATCTTGTGCACTTATTAATTTTTGTCCAAGCATTGTTCCACAGTAATAGCTATTTTTTGTACTTTCAACTTGTACAAGGTATTGATTATTAATAAAGTTCATAAATTTAAGAAAAAATTTACAATATATACAAATAAGATAGATACACTACAACAATCAAGTACATAATATAATGTATCACATTCCAGAAAGAATAAGATTAACTGTAAAAAAAATGTCTGAATGAATCCAAAATATATCATTTGCGAAATTTAAGTGTTGCACATTTTTTACAATACCACACACCCTTCGGTACACTTTTTTTCTTTAAATCTTTTAAACTGTACCACTGTACACTACAGTATTTGTTAGCACAACAAATCATATCGTGTTGCCCTACTTTATGCTTAGATGTGGGTACATTATCTTGCACGTTTGTAGATATTTGTTTTAAAGGAAGTAGTCTTGTAAAATACTTTCCAAGTAATTCAGGCATTATTACATTATTAAAAAATGCTAATGCTTTTTCACTCTCACATTCCCAAAATGTTTTGTCACTATACACTCTTTCCAGATAAAAATTCTTCTTCGACCATACAACCAAATCACAGTATGACCTTTCGGCAACTGCCATTTGCATTTGTACTTGGTGAAAATAAGAGTGATTCTGATCAAGGTCGATGCTCCATATATTGTCCTCCAGTACGTTTGCTTTTAAACACATGTTCTTGAAGTGAACCAATTCCTCAACATTGCTGTCACGCACGCAGTATGGACATTTAATTTCCAGACAACCAGATCCACAACAATCGCAACTCACCAGACCATCAGGGCTTGCACCAAAACATGGAAACATTGAGTTAATTATCAGCCCCGACGTTTTTATTACAAAATTCTCATGTTTTGGAAGCATGAAAGCTTTATATGCCTCTATAGCATCTTTTTCATGCAAGCATCCATAAGTGGTCTGCTTTGAAAAAAAAGGTTTCTTGTAGCAGATTGCCTTAATTGTGCTTATTGCGGGTTTTGTTAATTTAGTTCTGCAACAGGCTTTAAACAAAGATGCAGTTATGCGCCCTTCACGAAAACAAAACCAATTTTTGTTACCTGCTTGCCCCATTGTTTTTTCTTGAATGATTGCACATTCATCAGAAGTTAGATGAAAATCAATTGTTTTCCCAACTTCGATTAGCTCGTTCAAGGTCTTGGTTTCATGTTTTTGATCATACAAATTGTTTAAAATTCCACGTTGATATGTCGCTTCTTGGTTTTCCTGTTGTAACGTAAAACAATATGGGGATGTAACTTTTAATATCACAGGGGTATTTTTCAGCGCACTGAGCTTTTCCAAAAAGGTTGCCTTTTCTAAATCACCTATTTCATCTACATCACTATTACTTGAAGTGCTACTGTTTTCATGTTTATGCACAGAATAATCCACTTCTTCTACACTACTAGGCACACCTAAGTTTGTGTTTGGAACCATCCAGTAGGCCTTTTCACCAGTGACCGAGATTGGCTCTGTATCCCGAACAGCAGCTTCAACTGCGAATAATGCGGCACCTACATGACTGCAGCACTCCCCCAAACCTGCAGTACAAGTACAATGTGCTGTAAGTACTTCACCATTGTTTTTTACAACACACCAAAGGCTAACTGGAGGTAAATTTAACCTTTGTGAATGTATGACCTGCAAGAAAGAAAAAACTATAGATATACATATATTACTATACAATGTTAGGCAACATACCTCAGAAAGTAATAAAACATTATCTGAGTTTGTGATTTTCTTTACACACAATGTTTTAATCCACTTAGAATGGAATAAATTGTACGCCTCCAGGCTTTTATATGCCTTAAACTCATCTTGTGTGTACGCACTTTTATTAAAAACTAAATAATTTACGATATCGAAATACGTAACTCTAGGAAAATCGTTAATGTTTGTTGAACATGTACCAATACTAACTAAATAAGGATCTACATTATTAACTAATTTAATTTTGTCCAAGTAACGATTTTTAACGTCTGTTGGTAAAGTATTAAAATAGTCACTTTTATCGCACATATTACAACACTTAACAAATCAATTCTATTTCAAAAATTTAAAAATTAGGGCCACAATTTGCATAAAACGTATAGCGAGCAGTGAAGTGTTTGTCCTACAAGCGATCAGCTGTTGTATCGTGACGTCACATGCACGCGATGTATATTCATAAGTACTGATGGCTGTTTGCACCGGCAAATTTAAGTGGGGCTTAGCTTAAGAGTAGCTTAAAATCCATGGCAACGATTATTGAGACAATGGTTGCCATGGATTTTAAGCTACGTTTAAGCTAAGCTCCACTTAAATTTGTCGGTGCAAACGGCCATTAGTGCAGTCAAATTACAGTTTGGGCAGATTGGGCTGGGTGTTGTCATTTCACTCAACGAAATCAATTGTCTTCTATGTAAAAAGATCCGCTGAATCCGAAAATCATAGTCCCCCTAGCCGAAAACTCTCGGAATATATTGTTACGTATAAACAAAAAACGAAGAAAAAATGGCAAGATGTCGTTTCTTTTCGCATTTGACTTCAATTATCTCGTTAACTATACTCTAAGGGAAAAAATAAAGAGAAATGAATTGGCTTAGAATTGAATTTTCTATAAGATACAGTGGGTATGAAACGTTCATTTTCAAATGTTATTGTTTTTTATGGAAAAATATAAAAAAGCAATCCCGAAGATGATCAATTGGTTATTACTATAGGGAATTCAATACCGGGATCGCGGGATCCCGAAATACCGGAATCTCCCAGCATTTTTGCGGGATTAATCCCGCACATAAATGGGGCGGGATCCCGCGGGATTTGCGGGAGTCGGGACTGAGGAATTTGTCGACCAAGAGGACGAATCTGTTTACTTTATTAATGACACGCATAACGGAGAAGTTATTGTTAAAATAATAGTTGAACTTTTTTCGTTAAAAATGTACTATGATTTTTGAGGCACTTTAGAAGTTCACCTTTTTGTGCTGCAGTACAGGTGAGGTTTTTATGAGTTCTAAGTTAGGCTGAAGGTACTTTTTTGTTCAATATTGTGATAATTAGCATTTTATTTTAATACTGAATTTAACTGCACAAAACTGCTTATTTGCCAATTTATTTACAATTTTGCGGGATCTCTCTTTAAAAATGGGATGAGTAGTGCGCCTTTTGTTTAAAACAATTTACTGTAATATAGTCTTCTTCCCCTAACAAAAGATAACTAAGTGCGTTCATGTCTAACAACTGCGAAAATATAGTTGATAATAATCGCCGCTGCAAGCAACGCAATCGCTTGGAGGAAAACACTCAAACGTACTACCAAGCAATGATTGCTGAGTCGCGGCCGCTAATGCTAGCCGCTTCGAGGAAAACGCACCTTTAAGAATCCGAAGTCAAAAGCTGATTTCTCGTGAACTCGGATTTGGACGTATTTTTTTTAATGTAGGTCTCTCTGAGAGCTTTCCTTTCGCCTACTATAGATTTACATTTCTTGTGATATTTTGGAACTTATTCCATTTGTTAACTAAGAAAATTAATCGGATTTTGAAAAAAAATTGCATAGTCCGTCGATTTGCAAGAATCAACGGCACAATTGTTGAAAAATATTGTTTTAGAGTTCACTAACTGTAAAAAAATTGAGAACGCTCTGGGAGTCGTCATTTGGAACTGCAAAATATCGGGAATATTTCTATTAGTGTTGTTGCACTTTTGTACAAGACAATACCTATAAAATGGTTTTTTAGCTTTTTCCATGGTCTGAATCGCTATTACAACTGAAAATCTGTTTAAATAAATCAACAGTAAAAGTAAACAAATACTGGTGGCTTGTGACGTCATCCAAGGCCGGCTGAAAATGTGGCGGGGTTTAAACACATCGAATCAACATTTTAAATATTACTTTACAAGTTAAATTGAATTGTTCTAACAGTGTTTACACTTGTTACTATGTTAGAACGATGTAAAAAAGCGATTAAAAAATTAAAAAAATTACATGCATATTCCCTATTGTGTTGAGTAAATTGAAGTGTTTCAATCAATTATACGACACTGAAGGATTCCTGTAGAATTACCATTGAAAGCACACTCAAGAAATTCTATTGGATACAATAAAAAACATATAGTTTTCAATATGTGGATTCGCTTTGCGTCAAACCACATTACAATAATCTGTAACTCTGTATTTTAAGAATAGATCTTATTCTTAGATCCGGAGTGGGATCAAGTTTTCACTTTTGAGTAAAGCTGTGAAAATTGGCACAAATGCTCTTTGATCCTTCCTCTTATGGCTGTACGCACCCAAGGTTGTTTTGGTTGCTTGCATTTTGAAGGCGGGAAAACGTCATCCAGAATACACATTTAAAATTGCTCATAGGATACAATGCTAATAAAAGGGGTAAAAAATTTAGTTTTTGCAATATATTTTTGGATTTATATGGGTATATGTATATAAGGGTGGATCTTATATTGGAAATCTTGGAAGTTCCACCTTTGAAAGCAATCAAAGTATTGAAAAAATGAGTGTGGTGCGTAAGCTATTTTATATTGCACGAGGACTTGTGATAATGTAATCAAATTAATTTTAGAGGTGGAAATAGATAAAATTCCGCGATCTACAAAATAGGAACCACCCCTATGGGAATTAAAACTCTAAACATTCTTTAGCGGATGACGCCAAATAAAATGCTGTTGTTTTATGGATATTTATAGTATGTACAAAATGGTAACCGAGGTGCACACACGGCGAGCTCTGTCGTTGGGGTGAACCCAGATGCAGGTCTTCTGACTGATGGAGTGTGGCGCGAGGTCGAGCTGGCAAGTTGACCTGGTTCTGCTGGTGGAGACCTTTTTGTTTCTTGAAGTGCAGTCGAAGCAGGAATTGCGTTGCACTTTGCAGAGTTCGTGGCTCTGCTTTTAAACGTTTGCGGCCAGGGACGCTACGCTTTCATCGGTTGGCCGTTTTGACCAATGAGGGCGCAGCACGTTTTAGTTTGCTGCCGGATGTGAAACATTTTCTTACCCATTCTTTAAGAACGGTAGGGTCTTTGGGAAACATAAAAACCGAGATTTTATTTACACCAGGATGAGGAATTTTAGTGTTACCGCCACTCATCTAAAAAAATACTTAATTATAACATACAAAAGTGCATATAATTGATGAACTAACCTTTCAATCATGGCTATGAAAACATACAAAATTCACACACTAAATGTCTTTATATTCCACCAAACAGGTATCTACAGCTAAAATATGTCCTTATGCACTTCAAAATTCAACAAATTTTAAACAAATAAACTACTCAAGAAAAATAAGCAACTGCGCGACTACTAAACGTTGACCGTCAATGTCTGAATTCTCGATGACGTATACATTCCCTCCCGCTTCCGCCCACATACTTACCAGGTAACCTTTGAAATAAAATAACCTTGGTATGCACCGACAAATTTAAGCGAGGCTTAGCTTAAGCGTGGCTTATAATCCATGGTAACGATTATTGCGGCAATGGTTGCCATGGATTTTAAACTAAAAAGTTGTCAGTGCATACGGACATTAATGTTCCAACGTTGCGCCAAGTTTATCTGCCGCTGGAACTCCCGTTACAGGGGAGGTTGGAGGGATGTCTACAGAGAAAATACTTACTGAAGGGGAACAAGGTAGACTACCCTTAGTCAGAAAATAATTATCAAAATATACTTCCGCAGGAATAACGTTAAAGTTAAATGACCTTGTTTCCTTTTAGCAATTGGACTGGAAAAACTGTCAACCTAAAAATGCTCCACCTTTTGTGTCGCATTTTTATCAGTTGACAGTTTTTCTCATTTAATTGCCAAGCAACAGATTTTCATTACCTAAACAACCCAAATTTACTCGGTAAAATACAAACCTCTTGTACCTCAGTGACAATTTAAATCTCTTTAAACACTTTCTAACTTTCTTCCACAAAACTTCACAATTAAACAAGACTTCGATAACCCCAAACACACACAAAACAACAAGCGGCTACGTTTCAACGTCCACCACAAAAAAAACCACAATTCACGTCTTCCTCTGCTATTTAAAACAATTTCCAATTCTTTTCAATTTTCCGATCTCCTTCTTCTTATCAAATTATTGCGTCGCCAAAAAACTCACTTCGGCGATAACACGTGCTTCAAATTAATTAGCCCAGGCAGCGATAACGGATCTTCTTATCGCAACGACCGGAGATTTTTAGGCATAAACACTACGCAAATATTTTCAAATGAATAAACTGAATCTTTTAACACATAATTTCTTTACAATTAAATAAATACAAGCGATTATTTAAACAAAATTAACAACATTAAATAATTCTGAAAATAATATCATATTGGCTGCAAATTCAAATACCATGAACGAATTGTGTTCAATCCCAAATTAACGACCACATCTACGCTTGAAAATAAATGAAATTCAGCATACAGGATAACGAATCGTTATTATCGATGCTGAAGTCAAACAAAACATCCGCATGGCGTAGTTTACACAACAATACATTGCGAAATAAATAAATTACTGAGTGTATTAAACAAGGCACTTAGCATAAAACGGACTATGTGGCTCAGTGATAGAGCATTGAGCTACATAGCCGGAGGTCGGGTGTTCGAACCTGAGCTGAGGTAAGAATTTTTCATCTGTGGCAGAGAGGGGAATTTCCATAGATCAGTTTCGAGCATTCTGCCGGCTACTACGGATTAGGTTTTCCTAATTCATAAGGTAAATACTGGAGTAGTGTAAGACCTTCTGCAGAGGCACCTCTAAAAACCATTCTGTGGGTCACTCTGTAAATGGGCGCAAGCCTGTTGAGGGCCCAGAACAAGAGGGACAATAAATAAATAAATCAAATTCCTAGACCTTAATGGTTTTTCTATTACGTAATTTATTTATTGCATCTTACATCCGGCCATTCGTTTGAATAAAAATAAACCGAGAAATAAACCGATACAATGAGTTATCGAAGGACCCTGCAAATTCGTGGACTTTGGTGACATTTGACCTCTTGATCCTCAATTCAATAGGACAAGTTTAAAACATATAGAACTCTCCATTCGCACGAAGGGGCGAACAGACAAACCTGACAAAAGTACGATTTAATAACGCTCATTTTCCATTGACTTAATCAGACGTTCAATTTAAAAAGGTATGAAAAATACTCCATTCCATCAAATGCAGCAAATTAAAAATACAATCAAATGACATGAGTTGAGAGAGAATGAGAACATGCTCTTAAAATATAATTAGAATGTTACTTACCTAGCGCGCGCATTATCTTTGTTATTAAATATATTACAATCCCTTATTCTATTATCACATGACGACTGTCCATCTAACCTAAAGTAATCGTGGCCTAAAGTCCAGGATCCGGAAAAATCGCACACTTTACTATTATCACCTTCTCTCGTCGCTGTATTAATTTTAGCCAAAAAATATTCGATTACGTCTAAAGATAATAAAGATTGGGAAAATACCAGTCTGTAAATGAAAATACGGTGAGCGTTAACAGAGTAAAATGACGTACCTACAATTTTTCACCCATGGCTTGGCATTCTTCTATAATCTTAAACAATAAATACAGCTTGGCGCTCAGATCAATTTGTTCGAAATCATCGGGCTTACAGTACTTATTCCACCACTGAGGCTGATTAGTTGACTCAACACCTGAAAAGAACTTGATACAACAAAAATCAAGATGCCGGACATACCAATTCCAGTAGACGCTGCTGAATTTCGAGTTGTGCGTTTCTTTGGCTTCTTTACAATTTTGGGTTTATTCTTACTATCATTTTCTGAGTTATTGCTACTAGTACTAGGCGAAGGCTCGTCATCAATCAAAGAACTTTCAGAATCTTCATTTGCACCTACCATCTTCAAACATTTTTGTGTCAATCATTTATTTCTTAAATCGCCAATACAATCATGGCAAAACATAATTATTAATATAACTTTATTTTGGTAAACCTGTACAACCACCTCAAGGTATAAGGGAATATACCCGATCACGATAAGAGTTCGAGGAGAGGGCTATGGTTGGTAGAAATTAATTCCTTTCATTGAGACCTTTCATTAGAGTACCATGAAGGATAAAACTAGTTCCACTTAATTCTTAAAAAATGTGCTAAAAAGTACCAAAATCCACATATGCGTGTGTCTCGCGTGGATCAAGCCAAGGAACTAAGCTGATTTACTTACTATGTTATCAAGGTAAGCGTTGCCTTTTACCAAAGCAACTGCCGCAAGGCTAACAAATTTTATAATGTCCTAACGGCTTTTTTGAAACATTTTGCAACATTGGCGAGAAAGAATATGGCAGAAAAAAGTGTTTAGATATATGGCAATAAGCCACTGATGTAGTTACACTGTTAACTATTAATGGCATATAATACTATGTTAATATTTAATTTGAAATGTCACCAACCTCATACGGTTCCTTTCTGCTTCTCATCAACAATACTTGAGGATGGGTACAAATTCTTTGGAAGTCATGAAAATCTTTAAATAAATATGTTGAGCTTAGCGAACTTTCGGATGTAACTTGTGAGTAATTATTCCTGTAGTGTCCATACAACTTGATTTGTATAGGTGAAAGCCTTAAAAATAAGACATACTCATACTTAGGTGGAAGATACGGTGCTAAAACGGAATAATCTCTTCTCTAAAAATTTTTACTTAATTACCCTTCTTTAAAATTACAAATTTAAACACACCTGTACTATCCCATCCAACATGGTATGAAGTACATGAGAACGTTTTTTCATAAGATCTATATCTTGTGGCGTTGAATCTGTGTACTGTCCGTTAGTGATTGGGTTGACAAATCTGTTTCTGTACTCTTTGTAAGTTCCTAATAGATGCGGTTTTACAAACTGAACCATACAAAAATATTCCTTCAGATTATTTTGCATAGGAGTTCCAGTAAGTACTATTCTTCTTGGACTACGAATTCTATTCATTGCAATGCTCAAGTTCGATTTTTCATTTTTCAAAAGATGACCTTCATCACAGACAACTAAATCGGGTCCTAGAATAAACAAAAGCATATAAATTATCTAAACTAAATTCAAATAGTAATATAATTAACATAGGTAGGTACAAAATAATAGCATATTATTATACGAGCATATAAAGATAATTAAAGTGATAGTATATTGCAGCGAATATTTCAGAAATCCCGGTAGACATTGAGGCGCCATAAAAGATTAGTCATCGCCGATAAAGAACGAAGACAGATGGAAATAGGACGTGTTTATTCTAGAACATCCTGAAGCGTCCTGGAACACTGCAGAACATTATAGAAAGAACGTTGTTTTCCACATAAGCAAATCGAATTGTGGTTCGAGTACAGTTCAAACTTCCATGCGCTTGCGTTATGTTATAAATTGTAAGTGATAAATAATAATTAGTGTTATAAATTAAATGTGAAAATTGTATGTATATGAATCCACCAGTTGTATTTAGTGTCGTATATTCCTACTGCAAGCTTAAGTACACCAGAGAATGTTGTAGATTCATAGCTGCAGAAATTATTTCATGAATGGAATTTATAAGAATTGCAAAGGGGAGTAGAACTTGTTTTCTGTTATACGGAGGTTCTATTTTTAGCGTATTTTCCTCAAAGTGAAAAATCGCTATTGGCTGCACTTTGACGTCCGTCCGTTTGTCTGCCCGTCACACGTACTCCTTGTAAACCACTAAACCGATTTTGGCGATATAGGGCTCATTTGAAAAGGCATATTTTTTGGTTTTGTGTATGCGCAGTGTCAAAAATTTGGTTTAACGCATGTGCAATGCTAACTTTTTTATTTATAAAGATACTTTCAACAACATCTCTGAAGAGCATAAATTGAATTTAAATGTATCAAAGACACAAGCAATACTCTTCGGTAGGGACCAGACTAGATTAAGAGCGTTACCTTTTATTAATATAATTCTGAACTCCCAAAACATTTCGTTAAATGATTCGGTAAAAATTTAGGATTACAAACTTCGATTTAAGGAGCATGTCACTAAAAATCTTAATACGCACGTATTAGTGTGTTAAAACTTATCTTTAGAAATCGGCACATGATGAACGTGAAACTAAGGTCTCGGGTTTGCAATGCGTTAGTGCTATCAAAATTCAATTACGGTGATGCAGTTTATGGCCCGTGCTTGGATTCTATTGATGCCTCAAGAATCCAAAAGCTACAAAACGCGTGTNTCCGATAACGAGTTCGCAGCGCACGCTGCACTGTAACAATAGACTTATTCTGAGAAAAATACGTCTCGACAGCAAAAGCGCGTTGCTCATTCGACCAAGCCATGTCTACAACTGACAGCGCTACTATCGGAAAATTCCGTGGCCACAGTGTCATTCGAACCTACCCCCACTCCTCCAACATGTCCCCACTACTGACAATGCCACCTCAAAAGTAGGGATGTTTCTCTGCCCCACCCTGTACGAGCATATAAAGATAATTAAAGTGATAGTATATTGCAGCGAATATTTCAGAAATCCCGGTAGACATTGAGGCGCCATAAAAGATTAGTCATCGCCGATAAAGAACGAAGACAGATGGAAATAGGACGTGTTTATTCTAGAACATCCTGAAGCGTCCTGGAACACTGCAGAACATTATAGAAAGAACGTTGTTTTCCACATAAGCAAATCGAATTGTGGTTCGAGTACAGTTCAAACTTCCATGCGCTTGCGTTATGTTATAAATTGTAAGTGATAAATAATAATTAGTGTTATAAATTAAATGTGAAAATTGTATGTATATGAATCCACCAGTTGTATTTAGTGTCGTATATTCCTACTGCAAGCTTAAGTACACCAGAGAATGTTGTAGATTCATAGCTGCAGAAATTATTTCATGAATGGAATTTATAAGAATTGCAAAGGGGAGTAGAACTTGTTTTCTGTTATACGGAGGTTCTATTTTTAGCGTATTTTCCTCAAAGTGAAAAATCGCTATTGGCTGCACTTTGACGTCCGTCCGTTTGTCTGCCCGTCACACGTACTCCTTGTAAACCACTAAACCGATTTTGGCGATATAGGGCTCATTTGAAAAGGCATATTTTTTGGTTTTGTGTATGCGCAGTGTCAAAAATTTGGTTTAACGCATGTGCAATGCTAACTTTTTTATTTATAAAGATACTAGCTAACCCGACGGACGCTTTCCTCTTTCTTAGCTATAAATACCTATTCAATTCGGACTATTATATATACTATATATTATTAGCATGGGGACGTACTTCACATTGGCGATGCATGTTTAGATTGTAGCGCCGAGCCATCAGAATTATAGCTGGGTTGAAATACAGGGAGGATTGCAAGAAGGCTTTTATTGAACTGAACATTCTTACCTTTCCTTGCATGTTCATTTTCGAAGCAATTTGTTATGCTAAGCAGAACTTATCAATGGCAAAAAAACAATGTAACGTACACGATCACGATACTAGGCTTAAGCATAACATTCGAACTAAGTACTGCAGGTTGTCAAAAACACAGGATGGTGTAGTCCACCAATCTCAACTTCTTTACAACAGCCTTCCTAATAATATATATCTATGCCCATTGGAGCTCTTAAGTCACGCCTCAAAACATTTCTTTCAAAACATGCTTTTTATTGTCAGGAAGAGTTCATGAAAAACTGTTATGCGATATAATATGTAAAATTGTACTCTGTTATCCTCCTCTGTTAGTTAGTCTCTGAATGTACCTTTGTATTTTGTTTGTAATATTTTTTTTTTCCAATGACGACCGTAAGTGTACCCACACGGATAACGGTATAATAAATATTATAATTATTATTATTACTAGAATAAATAATTACAAAAAATTATTTCAAACATTTGCTGTGGCTATAGCACAGGTACCATCCGCCCCACCTGCGCATGCGCGATTCTGCCCTTTTATGTCTAAGAATATGTGTAGCAAATTTGGTTTAAATCGGTTCAACCGTTTAACCGGAAAAGGGATTTACTTGCCCCATCTCTCCCCAAAATAATAAAAATTGAACGCACTCACTGCTAGTTGCGTTTGGCGATTCAGAGCTAGCAACTTACCTTTTTTTTTTGTTGCGCCAAATGCCGTAATTTGAAAGCAATTACCTATTGTATTTCTGAATGAGTAAAAAAATTTATAGAATCTAGCCCATTTCCGGAAACCAAGGAATGTAGTGGCTCTGGTGGCGGTACCAATGGCGTCAATTTCACTTGGCCACTGGCGCAACATAATCACGGGGCGTCAGTTTTATTCTTAAAAGCCATGCAATGTGGACACACAAAGTTCTTTGGTTTAATAGCAACGATCTACTGTAAACTGTAATCGATTGCTACGTTATAATTAAATGCAACTCGATAGGGACATTTCTGCGTTGTTCATATCGATTCCGTTTCGCGATTCGCTTTTCTCGTCAGTTTGACTTAAGTAGGTAGGTACCTACTCGTATACATATATGTTTGACTTGTGGGATTACGAATTCTGCGATTTAAGTTGGTACCATGTTGGTACGTCTAATTAGTAGCATCTTGAAAAAACTAAAATTCAACTGAAAATAGAAATTGACTCCCTTAGTGTTTCTGTATAACTATGTATACCACGTGTTTAGTCTATCAACATTCAACACTTACCAAAAATGGATATTAGGTATATCAAAATTTTAATATAAAAGGCGTGATTGCGGTGAAATAACCTCGAAACTTCTCAAAAAACTCACTGAAATCTGGATAAACTATCCGATCGAATTGACAGCACACTATGATATGAATAAATTAATTTTTTGACGGATATATGCCGATCCATTGCCGATCGATGTAGCTGTTAAAACAATTGCCGTCGCACCGTCAAACGCGCGATGTTTAAATAGTCAAGAAGTTTTCTCCAATTTTCCAATTTTCTGCGCGATTTTCTTGACATAAGAACCTTCTACACAATATTAGAAAACTTAAAAAAAAAAGATGAATGAAATCGGTAAAGTCGTTCTAAAGTTATTGCGTGACCAGAAGAAACAGGGGTTCATTTTTATATACAGGGTGTCCACTCTCAAAGTCGAACATAGGGAATTAATATGTGTATTCAATTCGTAGTCTTTTGGCAATTATTTCTATAATACACCAATATAGTATGTTAGCAATAAAGGCTTCGAACGATTTTTATTAAAAATACACAAAAATACTAGTAAGGAAAAACAAATTAAAGTAAATATTCAAATAACCCCCCGTTTTGAGCTAAGCAATATCCCAGTCGGTTGTAAAAACTATTTCGCACATTCGCTAACTCCCTGTTAGTAATTAACGCGCATTCAGTAACTATAGCTTCTCTCAAAGAATTAATATCTGGGTGGCGTCTTTTATAAATTTTACTTTTAAGGTGTCCCCACAAGAAGAAGTCGCAAGGTGCCAAATCTGGAGATCTGGCTGGCCAATTTATGGTACCACTTCTACCAATCCAATGATTTGGAAATGAATTATTTAAAAAATGTCTAACGTTTAAACCAAAATGCGCAGGACAGCCGTCTTGTTGGAACCAGATCTCCTGATTTTCTCTTGCAACGTCTTCCAATGCGGGTCCTACCTTTGTTACCAAAAGATCTAAATAGGTTTCTGAATTTAAGTTTCCTTCAATTTCAAATGGGCCGATAATATTATGATTAAAAATCCCAGCCCAGATATTAATTTTTTGAGGATACTGAGTTCTGGTTGAAATATTAAGCCTAGGGTTTTCCTGAGCCCAATGACGTGTGTTTTGAACATTGGGTTCATTATTGAGGGTAAAGGTACACTCGTCTGTGAAGCATATCGACGATAGAAAGCGGCGATCGTTGTTAGCGCGCTCTTGTATCTCATAACAAAATGCACTCCTACTTTCTTCGTCAACATAAAAAATCTCTTGATGACATTGTGGTTTATAAGGGTGATATTTGTATTTCTTTAATATCATCCATACCCGCGACTTACATAAACCAGTTTCATGGGAAATTTGCCTCAAACTGTACGTTGGGTCTGCATTTATCATCGCCAAAACTTGCTCTTCTGTGCGGTCATCCCCTTGTCGATATCCTATGATATGATGTCATTTTAGAACATGTTTTAAAATAAAATTTGTAATGCTCACCACCCCTACTTTCTGATTCTACTGAAATATTTGCCTGATTTTCAAATTTTTCTACATATTTTTGTATGGTACTTGCTGATGGTATCGGTCTCGTATTAAACGCAACGGCAAACAAATCTCGAACTCTTCGCAAACTAACACCGCTATAAAAGGTTTTTACCATAAAAACTCTTTCTTCGTTGGTATAATTATTCATCTTTCCGTAAATTCAGTTTCACAAAAGCGTAAACGTCAAATTTTTATTGATAAACAAACTGTTTCAAGCCTACTATGTTTTGGAAAATACTGTCGAATTTTTAATCAAAACGATTTAAAATTTTTCATTACAATTTCAATTTTTAGTCTTGTTGTTAGTATCAGTGGATGCGCAATAATTTTCTCTTTCCAATGATACCATTACCTTTTCTGTAGAATAAGTTGGCGAGCAGAAATCCGCAAAAACGTTCAACTCCATGTTAAATCCCTATGTTCGAGTTTGAGAACGGACACACGGTATAAAGATTTAAATGAAACTTTATATGTAAACACTACGAATATAAGTAAAATTAACGACGTTTCCGTAATGCTGTTTTGCACATGCGCACTGACAACTTTCTTATTTATGAACACCAGTTTTAAATTTGGTTTTGCGCATGCGCAATGGCAACTTTCTTATTAATGAAAGCAGTTAAACGAAATATATGTAGGCACCTTGAATGAAACTAAAAAAACCGGTTTCAGTCAAGATTGCTCTACCAACCCAACCCACTATACATTTACAAACGTCCATGTCCGAAACCCGGATGCAAACTAGGTACCCTAAGTCCAGGGCCAGCTCGTCGAAAAAAAATGGGTGAGGCAAGCGCTAACTTTGCCGCCCTAATGAAAAGGTTTTTTGTTTGTTAATTGGTTCTTTAATATGAGTATAAGTACCACCAAACAACGAGAAAATTAAATAAAAACGTAAAAATCAGAAAATGACGTTTCATAAGCATACAAAATTCAAACAAAAATACCAAAACAGTGTAATAATACCGATATTTATATTTGCAAAATTGTTAAGAATATCATCGAAGTCTATCTCGAAGTCTATGTTAGAACATAGTTCATGTTCAATGGCGAGAATGGCCAGCTCCTTTAATCTGTCATATGTCAATGTTGAACATAAATAATTTTCCATTATTTTTTTTGAGAAAGAACGTTCTCCATTGGCCACAGTGACTAGAATAGTTAAAAGTATCCTTAGAGATACTATACTATTAGTTAACGAAGTTGTATTACACTAATTTTTATTAACATTTATTAATTGGTCGCTATCGATTTCGGACGAGATTCGTCCATCATCAGGCGATACGTCACAATAGTAAAAAACGAATCATGAAAATAATGAAGATCTTGGAATGTTGAAGTTGTACGATGTTATCTGTAGTATTGTGAAAGATCAAAGCAAAGCATGTACGGTGAAGTACTTCCAATTAATAAATCTTAATAAAAGTTAGTGTAATATACAACTTCGTTAACTATTAACAACACACTAATTGCAAAATGGAGCAATTCATCAACAATACTATACTATATTTGGAAAGTTATCACTCAAATTGTTTAGCTGTATATAGTTCAGTATTTGTAAAGGTTTTGTTTACCTTTGTGGCTTTGCACAATTCCTTCACTTCCCGTCTGTAACGATTAAGCAGTAGGTAATAAGCAAAGCAGCGAAATTGGTGTATGTGTATCGCCGCCGCCGGCGCTAGCTTATTCGCTGTATATCAAGTACGATAAACTAATTAAAAAAAACCATGCTATCCTATTAGATATATCGCAAATTAGTGACCTGGCAGATGGCTATATTTTATAATCACTTTCAGTCAATTGACATTACTAAGATTTATTATTATACTACATTATAATATAACATTTTTTTTATTTTTAAATTTCAAAAATGCCGCCCCTAAGATTATGCCACCTGAGGCGGCCGCCTCACCCCACGAGCCGGCCCTGCCTAAGTCCTAAGTCGAGCATTCACTTTACTGCGACACACGAGCTAATGATATACTGTATGTCCCCAATTGCTTGGTCAACTCTTGTAAAAGCTAAAACCTTTTCGGACTGAATTTTGAGCTTCTGGGTATCAACCCTGCTTGGTTGGAAACTAATTTGTGACATCATTTTAGTTTTGAAAGAGTGTCTTAAAAATTTTCGCAAAACGTTGCTTGCATACAGATAAAATGCTCTTTGGGGAAAAGATGTTATTAAGAAAAGTTGTTCAGAATGAAAAACAAAGTAAACATGCAAAAATCCGTAATAAAGTTACTTAAAAAAACTGTTCAAAATAGAAGGTAAATTGATGTTGAAATCCACAAGTGTTGCTATTGGGTTTAAATTTGCTACACGGTAATTCCATTCTATTTTGAACAGTTTTTTTAAGTACTTAACATTTTTTCGGATTTCCTAAAAAAATCCAATTAAAAAATAAAAACATCAAAAAATCAAATTTTGCACCTTTACCGTTTTTCATTCTAAACAACTTTTCTAAATAACATTTGTGCGGATTTCGTCCCCAAAGAGCACCTTACTGGTATGAAAAAATGTTGTTTGTATTGTGTATTTAAAGTTTACTGGCCAATATCTAAGAGACAATTCACCAAATTGAGATGTTGAGTAACATACGTTAAGCAATTGTTAAAAGCTCATCATGGTAACTAGAGTACCTACCATCAGCTATAAAAATGTGGTAAAGCGGGAACGATCAAAGGGATGCAAGATTTCCTTGTAAAGTTGTGTATTTTGATTCGGACCTAACCTCGTTTTTATTAATGGAACACCCAGTATATTTTACTATAAAAAATTAGCATATTAAATACTCTTTTTTGTACTTTATTTTATTTTATTTTTTAATATGATATATTGTGCTACTGTGTGTTTAAACTTACACTTGTACATAATTCTAAACTAACACAAAACATTTAGGTTTACATTCATAGAATAAAAAGAAACTAAATACATTTACAGTTATTCACAAACTCATCAAACGTATAAAAAGCTTTCGACAATAAAAAAGTCCTAATTTTGTTTTTAAACTTGGGCAACGGTAATTGTTTTATGTGTGGGGGCAAACAGTTGTATAAAAATTTCGACTGGTACAGAATACCATCTTGCGATTTGCGTAGCCTACAAAATTCAGCGCGTATGTTATTTCTGTTCCTAGTGTCATGTTGGTGTATCTCATGTTGCAGTATGTTCTGTTCAAACATATACCTAACACTACAAAAATTCCAAAAAAATGTTAATAGTTTTTAAAAGATTTAAGATTTCAAAAAAATTTTAAAAATATTTGTTTTGTATTTTTTCTAATTGTTTACTTAAATATTTTTGAATTTTTTTTAAATCACTTGAATTTTGAATGTTATCCCTGATGTGTTATATTTTTGAAATAATAAATTTAATATGCTCTATTTTTAGATAAGGTGTGTATACAGTGTTCTGTTTAAAAAATTACGTTAGGTCCAATAACTTTATTACCTGGTGAATATTTTCAAATTTTCATATTATCATTTTAAGTCTCACCCAAAAAGAGCAATTACTTTTTACATAGCACTAACAATTACGGAGATAGCCTTCTTTATATTTTACTACATTTGAAGTAATTTTATGATTACTTACCTGACAGGGTTTTGTACTTATGTGCTACTCCATTAAGTTCATTTTCACATTGCTGCTTCTATTTTTATCTCTTATTTCTTTGGGGCTTTTTGAGGATTTTTTGAAAAATTTATTATTACAAGACATAAGGGGGGTCGCATTGTTTGGAAGATTTTCTAATTTTTTTTTATTTTTGGACGAATGGTTTCTGAGTACAGTTCTGTCGAGTGAAATGCGTACGAAAGTTGGCAACTACAGAAAGTCGCGAAGCAATTAACTTGAATTACTTGATATAAAACTTTCACAAAAGAGAAATTACTGTAATAATTTTGTCATGTGTGGGCCAGATAAAAGAAAGTATAATATTAAGTAACGAGAATCTTCCAGCTGAGGTACGACAAACTTAGATTTTAAAATTATAATGTGCGATATGGTAGTTTTTAAGTTGAAACGCCAAACCCTATTTATCGCCTACAGATAATTTCCAGGAAAATCTTACACGTATACTGTTCAATAACGTGATCTACTGTGCAGCACAATCTCTCCTGCCTACATTAATAATAATACAGAAATTTTTCCTGATAAGGCATTATTAATACTGTTTGTTTAAAATGCCAATTTGAAATAATTGACAGCAGATACTTACCCTCGTACCTACCTATTTTAACAATTTCACTTACCTGGATCAACAAGACATTTTTGAAAACACTCCTTGGATTTCTTTTTCAAACGCTGGTTTGTTGGATTTGACAAGTTTCTGAACATTTCATACCCAATAATCAGAACTCCTCCTTTCTTATTCCAATCCTGTACGACACGTTCTCGCGCAGGATTGGTTTTACTGGATACTAATTGGTAAATGTTGAGCCGTGGTCCTTTCACGTCGCTTAGCCATCTCTGATATTCAGATTCCCAATTCAAAACTGTGTTTAACGGACAGACAACCAAAACATTCCTAACATTAGTGACTTCATCATTTGTTAAAAGTGTATGCGTAAATGCAATGACCTACAACCATTATCAAATCACAAGATTTCAGCAATGAAATCGACATCACCTGTAAAGTCTTGCCAAGGCCCATACAATGAGCTAAAATGCAACCGGAACCTGTAGTAGACGTTGCCCTTTCCACAGTCTCAAAGCAGGTGTCCCACATGAACTGTATACCTTTCCCTTGATGGGGTTTAAGCTTTTTAGCAATCACTTCGTTAACCGACAGTAGTTCCTTTTCCCCGTCAAAATCCAATACCACCTTCTCCAGACATCCATCTAAAGGCAGACTAAATACTTCATTATACTGAAATTGGCAAAAAATCAGAAACCTTTCAAGAGATTCGAACCGTCACCTTTATTTCTCGTTCTAAAATACGAGCCTTCCTTTCTTTTTCAGCCTTTTCAGCTTTCTTTGTCGATTCTGTAAGAGAATCATTATCGATCACCTTCCGAATGGCCTTCCTTTTGTATTGCCTCTTCTGAGGAAGTTTTTTAGGTATTTTGTTACTAAAATTCAATGTTAGAATATCAAAACTGTTTAAAACAATAAACATACTCCCACAATTCTTTCTCCAATTCGATTTCCGAGTCACTGCTGTGATAACTACTACTACTACTGTGGAGGCCACTGAATTCCATTTCATCAGAGTCAGACGCACTAAATACTGGCATTTTCCTTTTCCTATGGACTTCCAACGTATCTTCCAGATCGCTACTACTATTCAAGGTGTCATTCATTTTTTTCTGTTCCTACTAATAGAAAAACATCAAATATTTCATTGATCCGATGTCAATCTAAACTGGGAAATTCATGTTAACTTGATAAAATTACAATTCATAGTCATAGTCAGTTTGGTCATTGCTTTCTTTACCAGCTATTATAAACAACTCAGCGGAATAGGAATTATTAGTCTGATATCAACAAGAATGTACTTATTTTCAATTTAGCAGCTAACCAAACATGAAAGGGTGGTTTATCTACTTCAAATTAGGTATCCTATAGGGAGGAATGAGGATACACAGAAAGATGTATCTCTTTTGTGTAATATCTTACCGTTATCTTGTGTACACTTAAGAACTCAAAAAAAAACAATTGGGTGTCTGCTTCACTACAGGTAAATCACACAAAACAATAACAAAAAATGGTGCAACCGTTAACGACTTTAGTGGCGGGAAAAATACGACTGGTTTAATCTGAAGTTAAGCACAGATACCACCTCTATCACAAAGATACTAAAGGCGAATTTACACGGGGACAGCAATGAAAGTGTGGGGGCAAAAACTAGGATCATTGATTGTTCAAAATAGTATTTTGTATTTTAAATACCTATTTAAAATAGATTCATTTGAAATAATTACCCAGATCTACGAGTTCGTATAACCGTATCCGGCAATGTTAGCAAACAAATTTTGCATTTTACTTCACATAGCTGAGGTCGCTTAAACGCCTGAGTACTCTTCTAATTTATGAACGCACCCAAACAAAGTTGTAAGTGTTACTCAGTAGCGAACTTCACACAGAATTGGTGCGTCTCTATTTGCGCGCATCGCATTGTTTTGTTTATGTTGGACGCTTTCTAACCTTTACTTAAATGATTTTAAAATTTCAAAAGCAAAGGAAATGCCGTGATATTTACCGCTAGTTATTAATTTTTGTGTTGTCAGTAATTAGAGAAGTGATTTTGCGGATCATGAATTTGAACGTCTACCAAGGACATTCTTGTAAAGAATACTCCCTAACGGCGTCGCTTTACGATTGCATTGAGGACAATAACTATAGGTAAGATAACACCTAGGATAATTTTCGTCATGTATAGGTACATGAAGAAGTCGGATTTACCAAGGACTTGAGTTTTAATGTCTTGGCATTTATTGTGAGAAATTTAGAAGGCCGTGTTTTTTATTTTCTCATTTGTTTTGTAAAAAAAGTACAAAGTCTGGGATCTTTGGATGAAGAATAATAGACAATATGAATTTGCAAATAAGTTGCGATAATTTATTGATTGTTTGTACAATAGGATCAATGTTCAATGTGCACCAAAAACTTTGCTTTATAATCGCATTGTTATGCAAATTTGTGTGGTCTTTTTAAAGGATGAAAGTGGGTGATTTTAGATTGCTTTGACAACTCTTGTCTATTGCAGGTCACTTCGTAGGTTCTTTGGAAATAAATGTTTGTCCCAATTTCGTGTACATCATTCATCTAAAATTATCTTTAGCTCCATCATAAATTTTGGTTTCAACCAATGTATTCCAGCTGATAATTTTTGAACATGGTCAAAAGTTATCATTCAACTTATTAAAATAATATAAGAAATTTGTTAATGATTGATGTGGCATGAAATTGTGCCTAATCTTGTCAGAATCATGTCACTGGATACGTGCTGATAAGCATGCGTTATAAAGACTCTGATAATAAGCTTGATTCAGATGAAATGAGTAGTACATTTTTTTAGTACTTGTATGTAGTTTAATAATGTACTTTACCTACATTATTGAGGATAGGTTTTCCATTTAGTTGTGCAAACAAAAAATGTTTTTTAGTCATTTGATTTTTTTAAATTCTTTAGTCGAGTTAAAAGTTAATCTTTTTGCATTTTTTGAACTTGAATTTTTTTCAATATCCTTGGTGTACTTATGTTTTTGAAAAACGCTGTTTAGATTCAAATATACAGGATGTTCATTACAAAGAAATTGTTGATTGATAAAAAAAAATTTTTTTTTAAACAAAAAATTTATAAAATCTACACTACCTACTACATGTTGTCTTGAACATGTTTAGCGCATTTTTTAAGAATTAAAAAAAATGTGCACACATGTTCTACCCTTCATGGTGTTCTAATGAAAGGTCTCATCGAAATAAATTGGTTTGTACAAACTATAACTTTCCCGTGCAACTCTTTTTCGAAATCAGTGAGCGATGGGGCTGGGGGGGGGGGGGAAAAAATTAATTTTATCTCTCATTGTATTCTAATTAAAGGTCTCAATGAAAGGAATCGTTTTCTACCAATTACTGCCCTTTTTTCTGTCCTCTTATCAAAGTACAGGGGGGGACTAGTTTTATCCTTCATAGTACTCTAATGAAAGGTCTCAACGAAAGGAATTAATTTCTACCAACCATAGCCCTTCTCCTCGACCTCTTATCGTGATCGGGTATATTCCCTTATACCTCAAGAACGAATTGTCGGAAGAGGGTACTCACAAAGGGCGATTGAGAAGTCTACAAGAAATATATCCATTGGTGATGTCAAAAGAAAAGCTATTTCGGTAAAAAAAATTGCGCTTCATCTGCACAAGAGTTGTACACAATTTATACTTATGTACTTGTTCTTTATACGTACGTCAAATGTGACATTTCGCTGATCATCAAACAGCGGAGTATCGTTTCGTTCTCGGTGAGTATGAAAGCAACAAAACACAAATCGGCGGGAAAGCAAGCGTTCCCCCTCCCCCCGCATTAGTGAAATGGAAAGTAACAAAAAAACTCTTACCTTGCAATTAAAAGGAACGATAGATTAAGTTACTGTGTAAGAAAAAGGAAAAGCTATAGTTACGGTGCGGTAAACTTAATCTAACGTCCATTTTGAGTAGGGACAAACTATCTATTAGGATTACACCTTCGATACATTCAAACAAATTAATTACGCCTTTCCTGCAGGTCGGAAAAATATGGGACCGGTGTCAAAATGTCAATGTTTTAAGTCACCTAACTGATGTAATTTTGACTTAGTCGGTGCTTGTGGAACCCATTCAACTAATTACTGTTACTTATCGAAATAGTTGGAATCGAGGTTGGAATGAAAGTCTCCAACTTCAGCAGTCCAACCCTTTTGTTACTTGGAATGTGAGGTCAAGCGGCGCAATCTGTTGTCACGTTGATATTTATTTATAATTCTGAATGTTCGTATACCATAAGAAAACTAAAATCGATTAACCAGTAATTAACGTACCTACTACTTATTAAGATTGATTCTCTTTTTCCCTGGCAAGAGAGCTTTCGGCGGCTGTAAAAACAATTTAAATATGTATTCCTATGGTTGCAAAACTAATTTACATCCGTTATCGGCGGTAAGACAAATAATTAAACAAAATGAAAACACAGAAACTCACTCCTCGTCTCCTAGAGCAAATAAGTGAAATCAAAAACTAGCGTTTCTAGTAGGGAAACGCCCAACTTAAAACGCTTCTAGATACCGGGTGTTCAGCAAAGCTGGCCCGTGTAGCGCAGTTCAGTGGAAGCTCGGCTGCGGTACAGGGTTCCTGGTTCGAATCCGGGTTCGGGCATGGATATTTGTAAATGTATAGTGGGTTGGGTTGGGTTGGTAGAGCAGCCTCGGCTGAAACCCCGCCCAGTTAAAAATAAAGGCAAAAAAAATTCCCACAAATATGCGGTGTGGTCATAACTTCAGGTATGAACTTCAAGGTTGAAATAGTAGATTACATACCGAGCTGGGAAGTGGTTCATTACCTATGCCGAGGGCTTAAGGAGGTGAGGTATAAGCGCGAGGCGTTGGTTATGAACCACCGACCAGTGAGGTTTGTATACTATTTTATTCACAATCTGACTTAAAGAGGTAGTATAACAAATTCCACCAGTGTCAGCGTGACATTGAAATCTAATCAACATGGCCGTGCAGGTCGGAAAGTGCTTTGCCGACCTCGACGAGGTTCGCAAAAGATGTCAAACAATTGCTCACTTCCAAACTTCAAAACAGTTGGCAATTGACATATTACATACCTAATTATATGATTGTGAATAAAATTTTTTATACTCCAATATGTCTGAAGAATTTGGGTAACTTTCATAAATTTTATGCCAACAATGTTTCCCCTCGATACCCTTCATGTCACCTTAATAATAGGGTAGATGACAATTTTTTTAAAACCAGTTATAACTGTTCGTATACCTCTACTATAACTTTAAAATATGATATTTCAGCAAAATAAATCGTATTATTGCAAATTTATGTAATTTAAATTGTAGATTTTTATTCTAGCGCCAAAACGCTGTTTTGTGTCATGGCGTTGTCTGTGACGTCACAGTCCTGACAATTATAAACACATAACCCCAGCGTAAATAGTTTAAAAGATTTCGTGATGAATTATAAATACCGTAAGTGGTGCCCTACCATGGAGTACACTTTGTCGTGTTGTAGGGCTCAGTAGTCACATTTTTCTGTGGCACAGCTAACTATCCCAGGCCGGTAAATCTGGTTCCAAGGATGCTGTATCATTCAAATGCTTCTTGGAGTAGAGAAATTCAAAAGGGTTTTCGACGATTGCTCATTAAACGTAACATAGAAAACTATATTGACATGAGTAGCACATTTTTCACGTACGTTAACTCCTGAGGCGTGCGGTAGACGACAATTTGGACAACTTCCGAATCCAATTGAGCCATTTGCCGATAGAGTTTCAAATAATCGGACTAGATCATGACTTGTTAAACGTGATAAAGGAGACTTTATCGACACTAGTATTCCTTTGGACTCTGAGGGGTTGTAAAAGTAGCTTGATGGTAGGGCAAAGAAAATAATTGTTTTCTTCGTCGACAACTAAGGAAACTGCATACAGCTTTACGTGAACCGTATATTGCGGGCAAATTTTGATTTTAACTGTGAATAAGTTGCCAGAGTCTTCTGTTCGACTGCACCCAATGTAAGGTTCCATAAGAGTGCCCGCCATAAAAACTGTTTTAAGAACTACTTTATCAATTTAGACCTTTATCTACAAAATGTTCGTAACAGAAAACTCTTAAAGTGGACATAGCTTACTGAATCATCTCCATATGATAGCTTCGATGACCTAAAAGCAAATCTAAGCTTAACTTAAAAACCTACAAGACTTATGGCAGTTTTCTGATGAACAAAAATCTGTGTTTGATGCAAGAAATATTCCCATCATTTCATCACTGTTTGGCAGATTTGCTGCTATCCGCATTCGTATACCCACCTTCCATTCTTATCTGGTTTTAAAAACTAAACTTTAGGATAAAATGGAACAAGTACTAAATTAAAAAACGTAGACAAACTCTACAAACGCACAGAGGATTAGGATAATGACGTCACGCGCTCTGATTGGCGTTTGATATCACGTGACAAATGTCGTTATTTTTTAATTTTACTTTTACTAAAATATAATAGTTTCTCGTGTACATTACCAAAGAAAGTTATTTTGCGATACCCTGACACCTTACTCTATCTTATGAAACAAAAATTAATTTATTCTTTTTCCACTGTCATGTACCCTATTAGAGCCAAAGTTGTGCCATGGCCCATCAACAAGGAACATTTACAGCCTACTCTACCATTTGGTTTGAGAATCATTAGTAATTGCAACCAGTATCTCTTTCACTTCTTGCATGTCATACTCAGTTTAAATACACTTGATTGTTCTCTCATGATTTTGAGCATTTATCTTTTGTACATAACTTTATCACAAGAAGACGTTCTTCTTTGCAGAGGTGTTAAGCACATGCTAATAGAAAAAGGAGCTGATCCAAACATCATACTGCAAGATACAGGAATCGCGCCATTTCACTTAATTATTGGAAACGAATCTGAAGATTTTACGTTGAAAACTACAAAATTAATTTTGCAATGCGGCGGTAATCCCAACGTTAAGTAAGCACGAATGCGACACAGACATGTTTTAAATCATTTCTTCTTGCAGATCCGAGGATGGCCTTACCCCTTTGCACATCGCCTCCGCTTGGGGTAGGTTAAAAATTGTGGAATTACTTATTCACTTCGGAGCGAATTACGAAATAAGAGATAACAATTATCAGACACCCTTAAACTATGCGGTGGAACATCAACATGCGGACGTCGCCAAGTTTCTTTATGACGAAGGAAAAACAAATATCAACTTTGATAATGCTGATGAGCCGAAGGCATACTGTTTAAATTTAGGTTGGTATTAGCACAGACAACATATACTATATGTATATGTTGTCTGTGGTATTAGTCAAGATTTATGTAGGTTGCCTCATTAGAAATTATACAATTCAAAATTTGCCGTCATCAGTTTCCACGACGGCAAGAGATTTAAAATAACGATTTGACCGATTTTTTTGTATATTTGCTTAATATGAGAATAGGTCGTAAAGTATATTTCATACCGCTAATAATAATATTGGGCAAGCGAAACCGAGCTTATGTCGCGCGATATAGAGGCGAAGTCAGACGGCCTCTGAAACCGAGCCTATCTCACATCCTAGAAAAGATTTCCTAAATGCGGTACTAAGTTCGCGGGGTCTGCTGGTAATAGATAAAATCACATTTCTCGCATTTTAGAATCTTCTATCTAGATTCTGCTGGGTTAAAATGACTGCTTCTTCCACAAACGTTAATGCATTGTAATTTTTTGCGCTGATGCGAATGAGACCTTAGCTATACTTCTATACTCTATTCATTTGAAGAAGGTAGCGATAGAAAGCATAGAGAAGCTTCGACTTTCACTGTGAGTGGTGAAAACACGTCATGTCAGTATTACGCTCAAAAATAAAACGAGTGACGAATTTTGTAAGCCGGTTGTTTCTGTTGCCAAATAAACTGTCTAACTGTTATTAGCTGTTAATGTCTAATGTGTGCTCATTTTCAAACAGCGCCATCTACTACCTTCTTATAATGAATGTAGTTAGTATATACAAAGATAGTACTACACTAGATAGACACCGTCTGTATAAATTTTAAACGCTCAATTTTGTCAGCAGGATATGTTGACTCTGTCCGCGGAGAATGTTTTTACCAATAGTAGCGATTCTTCACTGCATTTGCAGACAATATTAGAACAATGGCTCTTTATATTGTGTGTTAGTCAAGCACGGCCTTGTGTAGGCGTATCGCATTCTTTCATTATTCTTTTTCTGCTCTGATTTGAATTAATAATATAAGTACTCCACACTGACCAGTTGCAGAAAAATTTGCCGTATTTCTTATAAAGAATAGAAGGTATGTTCAGTTTCAGCCTGACAATCTACCTTTCGGTTGCATTTCCAATTATTTCTTCAAAAATTTGGAAATAAATGCAATTCCAAAGTCATGTAAGCCATGACTATTAGTAAGACAAAAAGCAGATTCAAATGTTATTCAATTCTTTAGAAAATTTGCAATTGAGTCATAGCTTAACATGATTTTGCTAACTGCTAATATTGTTGAATTTTTTATGAAATTATGAGAAATACACCTGCAAATGAACAAATTTGCATATCATTAGATGAGAAAAAAATCTTCTTTCGATTGCATGGGGTCATTATAAACCCTCGGAAGTCGGAAGTTAACCTACATGTGGAGCAGTGGAGCAACAATCTGCAAAAATTTAATTTTTTAATATGTTAATTGTTTATGTTCGGTTTTGAAATATTCACCAGGTATGTGCCTGAATACAAAATTTAAACGCCGGCGTGATTTATTTTCTCTGGAAAATACAAATTCGAAAAACGGTCAAATCTTGAGAAGAAAAGGTTATAATAGCGAAATGGGTAAAGTTAAGGGTATGCTATGTTACATAAAAAATAAAAAAGTACTGTGCAGTACTTTTCAATTTCTCAATAATTTCTCAATATGGGCTGTTCCATTTAAAAAAAACGGATGTTTGATACGCTAGTGAAATACAGCACGCCAATGGTGACCAGAAATATTTTAGAAACATGTTTGCTCCTCTATTTTGTCCTGATATCTTTTATAGTAAAGGAATTACGATCCGAGGGGAATGTTACATCCTGTATAAAGTACATATTATACAAAGGGTAGTTGCTTACTTACAACTTATAAGGAAAAACATGCATTGAATTTGTTGAATTCGTAACTCTGATTTAACATTCCAGCCCGATATAATGCGTAATATTCGCAGCGTGGCGGAAATTCTCAGACGCCCACACAGATGTTTGCCTTATTACCTTTAAATGTAATTTAATCTATGTAAATACGTAAAGGAATGTGGGGTAGGTCAAGGAAGAGATAATATAATGCAGCTCGTGTGTCGAATACATACAATTACGGCTTCCGATGATAGGCTTAATTGCAAAAGCCCCCTATATCTTCTTTACGGAACTAAATAAGCAGTTTAACAACTTGCCCATTTACGGTGTCTATCTAGAGTAGTATTATCTTTGGTATATAGGATCAATATTTTACGATATGAATGGTTGTTTCAACTCAAAAGTAGGGTTTAATCACCAAAAACAATTGGAAAACTTTTACACTTGGTACAGTATGTAGTATCGACTATGAACATGTTTAGTTATTGATGTTAAATTAATTCTTTATTTCTGAAATCGCCAAGATCATAGTCATCAATCTCTACAGGGACCATGTCTTTGCCCAAGTTCGAGTAAGAAAGCCCCTCGCATATTTTGCATACAGGCGAACAGGGTATCCTACTTTTTATGATGAACACTTAAGAGTTGAACATCCACTTTTGCAAGGGCCATTATTTCATCCGGAGCTGGTGGTAGGGTAGACCGAACAAGGAACATATCATTTAGACGACTCCAACCCCACTCTTCAGGATTCAGTTTATTTCCCGGCTATTGTTGAACCCCAATTTCGCTGCGACACGCTTCAAAGATTTGTTAAATCATATATAACGAAGATATTTAAATAGAATGTTGTATGTATACACGGTGTCCATTTTTCGAGTGCCACTTATCTTAAGAGATAGAAAGTTGGTTAAATGGGGGCAAAGTTGCCAATTTTCGTGCCGAATAAGAATCTGAAAAGAAATTTGAAATATCTTCAATAGTTTTGAAGATATCGAAAATTCCTGATTTTCGTTTTTAATTTTTGTATGATAAACTAATCCTAGTAGACATTTCTAATTAACACATTATTCGGACACTTTTTAATGGAGATTTCAAATATGGCATCCTGTTTTTAATAACTTTCAAAATGACGGAGAAACACGTGGAAACTTTAGTTTTTCTTATGGAGGCTTTTTTCAGTGCATTTTGGAACGCATAAATTGAATTCTATTGAATATCCAATTAAAATTAGAAAATGTGATAAATATTGGTGACATCTGCAATATTAGACAGTTTTAAAAATTCATAACTATGAAAAAAAATGGTTCCACCTGCATATGTAGAAAGGGTTAATTAACGAGAGTCGGCCGCGGCGACGCGGTTCTCTCCCACTAAGGATCAGGATCAAAATAGAGATGTGAAAGAAATTTTTGATCTCGATGAAATTTGGTATCTGGGCTTTTTTTGTACGAAAATAGCTAAACCACAACTCATGGCAAAAGCCAGCATCTTTACGGAACTAAATAAGCCGTTAACAACTCTTCTACTGACTATGTATATCGAGTGTAGTATTACTATTATTATTAGTAGTCATCCTGATATGGAATTTTGTATCAGGATATTTTGCAATCATAAAGGCTTGTAACGGGACAGCATAATACGCAAAGTGTTGTGCGATAGATTTTACACAAGTGTCTGTGATCCTAACACATTTTTTAAGTATTAGGAAAACAAAAAACGCGGGAGTATAAAATTAAGCCTTCTTGCTTTTCTGTGATCCGTTACGGATTCAACAGGCTTTAAAATAGACGTTTGTACCAGGAGATCATACCGCCCGACATAACACAAAAGATGGTCTCTATAAAATTAAGCCTTCTTTGCGTTTTCTGTAAGCAATTTAAAAAATCAGTACCAATCAGACAGTATACTCTCTACAGGAAATAAACAACTAAATTCCTCAAAACCTTCCCCATGGATATTCTACTCTCTTTATTGACAGATGCCGCTCGGCTGGAAACTGATGACGTTAATTGCTTCAGTACATACTAAATCTGACAAGGTAACCTACAGTTGTTTCAATCAAAGACGACCTCCACTAATTTATGTACCAATTCCCAAATACTTCAAATTATTACCATTGCTTTATTACTGGGTGTGTTAACTAATGAAGAATAAAGGACTCGTTTGCAATTGGTTCACAAATAAGTGACATTGGTGATGGTCGTCTGTAGCGCAAGCGACTACAAAAACCGTTACAAAGCTCTGATATTAAAGGCGGAAACAGACTGTTGTCACGTCACGAGATGGCATATGTCGGCGTCACGTCATGAAAACCTATAGCATAGAAACAAACGCGCTTGATCAAACTATTGTCACCTTATGAAGTTACGACACGTTACATTCACAACACGTGATCGCACGATTCGAACATTCTCAAATTCCAATATTTGTGCTGTCACGAGTTGGTAACAATGGAGGAAAAATTGATACAGAGACTGTTAGAAAGCGTCAATTTTTTTTTGATATGGTCCTGATCCTAACAGAGATCAACGCGTGCGGTAGTAGGCGTGGGAGGAAGTCATTCCTTCCAGTCACCTATACAGACTCTTCTTTCTTTCGCCCTTCTTCTCCATCAAACAATGAGGATGAAGAACATCCACCCACACTACTACAGTTGACTAATATGGACGACAATGTAGCAATATTAAAATATAAATTATGTTTTTGATCCATTGTTCCTAATGAATGTTTTGTATGTACATGTTTGGTTGAGTAAGCGTCGACCTTCAACACACAGCCAAGCGTTCCCTAGTACTGATTACGTTGCGTGTTGCATTTCTGTATGTCATCTTTGGTCAAGAAACTTTAGGGATTTCGATTATGTTGCTTTTAAAGCACATTTATCTGCAATACCGTGGAGCAATATATATTATCAGCCAGATATTAACAGTAAAACCCAATTCTTGATCAGTAATATAACTCTCCTTTTAGATATATTTGCGCCACTTGTTACACGTAGAATTACGAACAAACATGCACCTTGGCTATTAGAAAATTTGAAACTTATGATGACCTTAAGGGATAAGGCATTAAGCCGCTACAAGCGTCACCAGCTAGTTAGTGACTGGAATCACTATAAGCAACTCAGAAATATCGTAAATTTGGCGATTAAATCCGATAAAAGAGCCTATTTTAATCAGGTGATAAAGAAGAAAGATACAAAGGAGCTCTGGGGTGAAATAAACAAATTAAATATAGGAAAACCAAAGACCTACGAGTTGCCTTCTGATCTGAACGATGTTGAGGGTATCAGCGATTTTTTTTTGTAGTGTTCCCATACTTAAGCCAGACGAGGATGTACTTGATTTTTATTTGAATAATATTAAGCCAGGAGTCACTTCTCAATTTCACTTTAAATCAGTCGAGGAAGATCATGTATTCAAAATTATCGTTCAGCTTAAAAGTGGAGCTGTGGGCTCGGATGGGAATAATGCTTCAGTGTTGCGATTGTGTGTGCCGTATCTGCTGCCTCATATAACGCATATTATAAATTTTTGTTTAATAAATTCTGTATTTCCCATATCTTGAAAAACATCTTTAGTGTCTCCGATTCCTAAAACGTCGACCCCTGCACATAATAAAGATCTTAGGCCTATAAGTATTCTGCCAACTCTTTCTAAAATTCTAGAGAAAGTAATGGTTATTCAGTTGAGGCAACATCTCGATAGTTATAATGTATTATCTAGCATGCAATCAGGATTTCGCAGTTCACACAGTTGCATGACAGCGCTATTAAATATTACTGATGATATTTTCAGTGCTTCAGATCAAGGAAAACTAACTTGTCTAATTTTGCTTGATTATAGTAAAGCATTTGACACGTTGAATCACAAACTCCTATTGGCAATTCTACACTTCATCGGTTTTTCTGACGCTGCTATTCAACTATTTTGTAATTATCTTTCGGATCGTAACCAGATTGTTTTCTATGGAGGCAAGTATTCATCCCCCAAGCAGGTGCATTCCGGAATACTCCAAGGATCAATTCTTGGTCCGGTTCTGTTTACAATTTACACTTGCAATTTACATTCAGCCATTCTTTCTTCAAATTTCCACTTGTATGCCGATGATACGCAGATTTACTTATCCTTTCACCCCACCGAACTTAAACAAGCCGTAACTGCTTTAAATTATGATTTATTTAATCTTGAACGTTATTCTACTTTTCACTGTTTACAAGTAAATCCAAACAAGTCAGCAGCTGTACTCTTTGGTAGAAGCTCAGATAGAGTTGCATATAGGAACGATATAAAACTCTCAGTCGGTGGTGTCAGTATACCGTTGTCTAATACGGTTAAAAGTTTAGGGCTCTATATTGATAGCAATCTAAGATTTACTGAACATGTTTCTGTTGTGTTGAGGAAAGCATACTACGCTTTAAAAATTCTGTATCCTCATCGAAATATTTTTAGCTCCAAGGTAAAGTCGATGCTGTGCAATACCCTAGTTCTACCGATTGTGGATTACGGTGATGTGGTTTATGCTCCATGTCTCACCGTAACGGACTCAAACAGATTGCAGAAGCTGCAAAACTCGTGCATACGGTTTGTGACAGGGTTAAGGATGTATGATCATCTTAAGGAAAAATTTGCCGAGATAAAATGGTTAATTATGTCTGATAGGCGCAAATTTCACATGGCCAGCCTATACCATAAAATAATTATCACCCATAAGCCGCCGTATTTGTATAGCCGGTTAAGGTATCGAACACACGTTCATAGCTTAAATGTGCGATTTAAGGGCAGACTTACACCACCTTCGCATCGCACGTCTCTATATGAAAGGTCCTTTTCGCACAATATCTTCAAATGGCATAATACGATACCGCCGGAAGTTATGTGCTACTCGATTGAAAAATTTAAGGCGTTTGTAAAGCGTTCCCTCTTAAATTAACGTGTAACACTTACCGAAGATGAGAGTCAAATTATCGACTTATCCAAATTATCCTAAATGATTGTTAGGTTAATAATATTCAAGCGAATAAAATAACATAACACTGATTGTCACACCAAGCATCGATTTTCAGGGTTAGGTGGAAGAGCAGGACGCGATATCTATCGTCGACTGAACCTCGCCCAGCTCTGTTATTTATAAGTGGTTTTATAGTTATTATTATGTATTAGCCAAGAGCAATAAAGACAATTTATTATTATTATTATTGTCTTTTATTAGATTATGAATATAATCAAATTCATTTTTAGACATACAGAAATACACATGAAAACGATCAGAGTGTTGCTTCAATTCTTTCGGCAGTGGACGATATTCTCCAAAACGTTCCTTTTTCCTATTTATGAAACGATCCTATTGTGTTGCTTAGACTTCAGCACCGAATGAGCAGTTGCTATTTCCAAATCTTTTGCCCGCTGGAATGCACCCATCCATTTTGCACAAACGTTGCATTGTGTTTCTGAGTGTAATCTCATGTGTCGCTCTTTTTTTCTTCTCCTCATGTGACGTAGCAACAGTCTGTTTCCGCCTTTATGGGTACATTGAAACACATTCGTTTTCAGAAAAAATTCTAATTAGCAATGGTACATCGGAGGCCGAATACGAAGTTAACCAAATGGAAAAATTTGCTAGTTCCATGTCTAAGTTGGATTTGTTGCCTCAGACTACGCCTCACGAGTATGTCAGTAATTGGTTTAATACAAATTCAAAAACGTTATTGTGTGGGAATCAATTGGATGATAGCATCAAGCCTAACCAGAGTAGTACATTTAACAGATTTGAATGTAGTAAATCGCCTCAGCTAAAACAGAACAGTAATGGCGGTGTGATCGAACTTATTTCCCTACAGTATGAATGCAGTTCTAAGTTTCGCAACGTCAATTGTCCTAGCGAAAACAACTCGACGAAAAATTTTTGCAAATTCAAGGAATCGTCGCGAGAAAGTGGAATTTTGACACTTTCAAACACATCATTAAACGCTTACAGTATTAGTGCGGAGAAGTTCTGCGATTTAAACCTTTTCAATCGCACCCGGGAACACAAAGACACTAGCAGTGATTATTTCACGTGCAACGAAATTTCCGGCAGCACAAACATTTTGGAAAAAAATGTGTTTGACATACCCGAATTCTCGATTTCGGGCGCAAATTGTGTTAATAACGTCGATCCCGGCCGTATGAGTTTCAACCTCAACGAAGACGGGGGTAACGTTAGTATTGCAGAGGTATACAAATATACAGATGAGAAAGAAGACATTGTTCTGTTGGAAAAGCGATTTCCCATTAATCAAAAAATGTAAGTGTTTTGCGTTGTAATGTGTTCAGCTGTGAGATCGTTTTGTTGTAGTGAGGTCGAAAACGAATTGTTATCGCAGTCTTCCAAGCTATCTTCTTTACCTGCCAGTTTTGACTACGACGCAAACACCTTGCGACACGAATTGACGCAGTATGGTTTTCCTGTCGGGCCAATTACGAAAACTACTAAAAGAGTGTATCTTAGAAAACTGTATAAGCTTCAAAAGCAGGTGGCTCCTAAAATTCTACCATCGATTTCGGATCAACTAAGAGGTAAGTTTGAGTCTTTTGTTTCGAAAATCCCTCTGGTATCTCCCGCGCATATGAAAAATCCTTGCGTAATTATCATAGGTTCAATTGTTAGAAATTAAAACGAGAGTAAGTAAAAAATAGTTAAAATCACATGTCAGTGAATGGCGATCATACTTTTTAAACATTAAGTATTACCATTTTCCACTGTGGACATGGATCATGGGCCCGGCTTGTTGTTTCTTGATCTATGTTAACAATGAACTGTAGAACAAAGATTTCAAGTGGCCGCCATAATGGGGCAAACATGTCATTTTTAGCAATGAACATGTATAATAGGTATGAGGTTTTTGTTGGTGGTTGGCATCACTTTAGCGGGGATTACACTGCCATACCGATAGCGTACTATTTTTTTGTTTTTAGCGACGCTCTGGAATGGCCAGGCAGAATTGCGTCCAAACTTGTCCAAATTGTAAAAACAAAATGGCGGATAAAAATGTCTACATTCGTAGAGTGTTCTAAAAATGTATATATACAGGTTTTTGAGGTCATTACTTGTGAACAACAAATACAACATTAAAAATGCCGGATCTAATATGGCGGTCAAAATGTGCTAAAATGCTTCCATTTTGATGATGAAATCATTAAATATTTATACGTTTCAAAAACGAGAATATTATTTTGATCTTTACTGAAATATTGTTAATTTCAAATACTTAATTTTAAAAACATTTCATATTTAACTATACATTGTATCCCCTCTAAATATCTGACGCGTCCAAATAAATCCTGCTTTCTACCCTTCCGTACAGCCTCTCCACCATGCCAACCGGCAAATTAACATACCTCCAATATCAGAGATACCTACCTACATGGGACATATACACTATCGTTATCTGACATTATTTAAAAAAAGTCTAGACACGCCCCCCATCCGCGGAAGGATGTACATCATACAACGTTTTTCCTTCTAACATCTAATCTACAAAGTTCAATAGGTTTTTACGACGCTTGAGTAAATCCCAATTTAGAATCGCGGGCTCTCTTACTATTTTGGGTATTGTTAATGTATTTTTTCGCGAAGGATTAACGAGACATTTGATATCCGGATTTGAAGTTATCGTTCAATGTACGCTTGCCTGATGCTAGAAAGAGATTGGAGTGGCGGACCCTTCTCAAAAAAATACATTGCCATTTCCCTATGGTGTGTTCTATCTTGGACACACTGTATGTGTTTCGTTGAAAGTATTAAGTAATTAATCCGACAATTATTCATACTGGCCAGTCAATGTGATAAATTTAGGATGAAATTCCTTTTAAAAGAGGAAGAGAAACTACTACAATTTATGAAACTGAGAAGATATTAAATTTAAACAAAATCATTCCGGAGGCTGGCCCCTCAATTATTGACATTGACCGACCATTATGAATAATCGCCCCATTAGTCACTTTAACCTTAACCTATGCATATCAAAAAGAAAACAATAGTCATCATGAAAGTAACGTGTAAAAATAATGAATTGACAATTTTGTTAATCCCTGGCTGTTCCCGTAAAGTCCCTATATTACTAAAGTAACGCGATTCATTAGGCCAGTGTATGCAAAACAAACTGTTAACTGAGCCAAAATGGCCGTTTGACAACTACTGTCAGGTTTGACGTTTGTTGTTTTGTATTATAATAGTTGTGCGTACCTACAACACGAACTTATAAATTAAGATGGGTTGCTAATGCTGAATTGCCAAATGACACCTACATGGGGGCAGTCATGATGTGCACGTTTTCTAAATAAATTACTGTGACACGTCATTTTCCAAGCCTGCAATAGTCTCAAAACTTGAGCACTAGGAAAATTCCCCTAGAAAATAACTAAAACGTGCACATCATGGCCGCGCCCATGCTAGGGCCATTTCTACCTCTATGCAACTGTTTAATCAGCAGTCCACCTTAATTTATAAGTTCGTGGTGTATATTCAGGAGAGTACTGATGTAACCACTAATTCATTAGAGAAGCGCATCTAAGCACTTTTGCAAGAAAACAGAAACCGAAAAACGAAATTACTCAGAAGTGAAGAACATTTTTTGAAAACTTATAATGAAGATCTTATGTGACGCTAATTAGTCCAAGATCAATTAAAATATCCAAGAGCGACTACAAAATACATACTTTCCAACTGTTGCTCAATTTCAAATTTCGCGGTTCCCAAACTGAGCCAAAATGGCTGCTATTTGCGTTACTTTAGTAATCTAGGAGCTTTAGTTTCCGCAAGCGGCAGCGCCTCTCCTGGTGGCTGTAACAACCAGACCCGATGAGCACTAGATTTAAATTGATAGAACATAATATAGGTATAAGTTAGATTTTAATATTATAAGTTATACCCAATAGTCATTGGTTCTTTTAACTAGGAAGTAGGGGGGATGGAGAATGCGCATTGCCCTTCTTCAGAGTTTATCTTTAATTTGTAAACCCCTTTCGTTGCATCCGCCGTCACCACATGGTGGTAGGTTTAGGAAGCCCTTCTGTGATGCCGTTGGCATTGGATCCATTGCTTTGTTAAGCCAAACTTTGTACCCTGTGTAGATTAGTCCAACTGTCTTATGATTCAGTTTGTGTCCACCACACTAAAACCGCATACGTTATAATGGGTTTAACCACAGATATACGCCTAACCTAACCTTATGCATTTCATAACTATCACATTTAGATAAACTTTTTTTCCCTCCTTGTGTTGGACTACTCGCCTGCACACTTTGACCCTTAGATCTATTATATGTGCCCCAGTGCCTTACTGTGAGAGAGGCAGTCTTGGAGGTCAGATAGGTGTAGGTGTTTGAGCAGATGTAAATGCGCGCACCCAGTAGCGCCCTTTGGCCGCAATGACTTCTGGTTATAGCTATAACTTCGTCTGGAAAGAATGTAGAAGTGGTTCCTAAGGCCATGGAGAGAGCGTAATTCGGCCCTCTTAAGCCTATTCCCCCACCTCTTCCTTCGACTTGGAGCCATCTGTGTACCAGAATAAGGCCCCTTTCTCAAAGTCTGGACTGTTTTTATAGACTTCCTTGCCCCGAATCACCACTTATATTCGGGAGTCATGTAGTCTGAAATCCTGACCTATTTGTAATCAGGAATGTTTAATTGTTGTACACCTCCTAAGTGTTTTGCACCTGTATGTATTCCTCCCACCTCACTTTGGAGCAATCCGCCGCTCCCATCGCTGCTAGCAGGAGGGGGGGGGGGGGGAGCGCTCATTGCTCCAGTAATACTCAGACAGGGTATTCGTTGCAGCGTCTTCAGTTGAGTCTGGGCCACTTTTGCTTCCACTTTAGACCACCATTCCAACGCAAGGTAGGTCAAAATAGGCCTAATTACAATGGTGTATAACCAGAAAGAGAGGCGGGGATTTAGCCCCCATTTTCCTCCCATAAGGCTTCCACCTCATTAAGGTCGCGGTGGCCTTTGTTGACCGCCATGGTGATTTGAAGCTTCCAAGTTAACCTCTTGTCCAGCATGAATTCTAAGTATTCACATTCTGGAGTTTACTCGAGCTACTGAGATTTTGTTACCCGAAGTTTCCGAGTCCTCAAGTGTTCCTTCAGAGGGAGGGATGATAACACTGTCCAGGCTGATGTCTTCGTTAGAAGTCAATAAGGTTCTTTTGATGTCAGTGGTGGTTAGAGATAGCGACTTTTCCGTTACAGGTGGAGTGGTTTTTATATTAAGTCGGACATATAGTCCCGCAAGCATTAAACAGGGGCACCTGGTACCAAGAGTTAGTTGACTAACGACCAAGCGCTTCCCTGCCCTTGCTTGACTTCGATGTATCTATTATCCCATTTTATGAATTTTTCAGGCATCTAATGGACATTTCACCAAATTGGAAAAACCAACAGAAGTTTGGGAAATCATGTGACTATTTTGACAGCTTTTCCGATAAACATTTTCCTTATGCTTTATGTGTTTGAGCTGTCAAAAAATAACACTTATGACGTCATTTGCTCAAAGGGGGAAATTATTTCCAGGTCCTGTCACCTCAAATAGTGTTTATCAGAGTGGTTGTAATATTTTACAGATATCAGGCTGACTGACAGGTATTTACCGCTCTTACAGAACGCTCTGATTTTTGACAGGTACAATGCAATACAGATGTCGCAGATCGCTGACGCTTTGGAGCATAATTTCTTTGAGAATGACCTTTTGTCACCTTTTGGAAAGATGAGTTCTTTTGTGGGTTAGGGCTAATAGATTACGTTAATGAAAAACCAAAAATTAAGAAAATGATTTCTGCTTGGCTCGCCATTTGGGGCCAGGGACCTGCACCACTTTTACTTGCAAAGCGTCTCCAAACTCATTTGTGGCCTTGGTTCACTGGCCAGTAGTTCCAGATATTCAAACAAGTATGCAAGGGATTGATTACAATTTTGTTTTGGTGCCGATCGTCATTCATGTCAAATTGACTTTGTATAAATATGTTCAGGGGGTTATTAAAAAATTATTCGTTGATTATTTTTAGAAACTGTAAGGATAATCTAATCTTATGTTTAATTGTCCACATCCATTGTTTCAGTTTACTCTTCTGAACTGGAGGGTACACTTCTTACGCCCAATTGCATAAAAGATTCCCCGGAATGTAAAACTTTGGAAGAAACATTATCTAAGGAATTTAGTAACCCTGATCCATCTCGAAAGTGGCGAGAAGGTGTCAATAAATCCTCATTTTCGTACCTGTTATTAGACCCTCGTCTCACCAACAATTTGCCTAACCGAGCTGAACAGATGCCACCAACTGAGGTTTGGAAGACATTCTTGGAATCAATTTTTTATGTGGGAAAAGGCAAACGCGCTCGGCCTTACTCGCATTTGTACGATGCAGTTAAACTTTGGAATGCGGGTATGATAAACGATTCCAATAAAAAATTACAACACATACTTGATATTTGGAAGGCTGATTTAGGTGTAATATGTTTGCATGTCTTTCAAAATGTGATACCCGTAGAAGCCTACACAAGAGAGGCAGCTATGATTGCGGCATTAAAATTGGAGAATTTAAGAAATAACAAACTGGGGCAGTTTTATGGAACTCCATTGACATGGTCAGCGCAGCAGCAAAACAAGCTTGGTGTTGCGCTACTTTATAAAGCAATGATGATATTTCTTAACGAAGGGGAACGGCAATTAAAACCAAGTGATATTAATTGAGAGTATTTTACAATTGTAATGTATTATAGTATTTTTTATAAAAGCTTATTTTTGTACATATTATTCTAGTCTTAAATTTTGTAGTAGTAAGTGCAATCTTATGACGAAACCTGTCAATTATTTTTAAAGGGTTTTAACTAATATTAAAAGAGAAAGTATTTGTTTTTATGATGTGTAAAGTTATATGATAGGATTGTTGAAGTATTAAATAGTAACTAATTTCATTTCTTAGAAATTGTTTGCTGTGCAATAGTGTGAACCTTAGATCATATAATCATGGATAGAGCTATCTCACAAGCTCTACTAAAAGACAACCGTCGCCAACATTCCAACGTGCATTTTTATGCCTAATTATCTTTTACTATTAGTAAGTTGTAATGTATTTATCCTTTGCCGGGTTGATTGTAAAAGTGCGCAAGCTTGGCGATGGTAAGGACGTTTGTCCGTTTGACATCGTATATTCGCAAACAGCTGTTTTTGTTGTTTAATAATAATCTTTATAATAATAATCTTTATTGTCCAAACAGGTGTAATACAAAACCCTAGAATAGGACAAAATTATAAGTGAGAGAGTAAAAATTAATGAAGTAACTAACTCGTAAAAAAAAAATAATAACTAAGTAATATAATTAAGAATGATAGGTAATGGAGTGTGAAAAATATCTACATGACTTGAAATATCATTATAGTGATAACACATTGTATAAATCGGTGAGCTTTGTCTGATATTAGTTCTACATCTTGGCAATTGAAATGTGATTTTATTCCTAGATGAGGGACGTGGTATATAAAATTTTATCGAGTTATGTAGCAAATTGCAGTCAGTTAGGTTGTGCAAAAGCTTATATAGATAAGTAACAGCCATTCGCCTTCTCCTAACTACTAGCGGGACAAGATCAAAGTTTTCTAGCATAATTGCCTGGGGGTAGCCTCTTTCCGGGTAGTAACCATCCTTTCGGAAACACATATATTTAATAATTCTCCTCTGCACATGTTCGATGTCATTTTCGTACTTTTTGTACAGTGGACTCCATATGATTGCTCCGTATTCCAGTTTAGGTCGAACCAATGTTGTGTAGAGAGATTTAATTGTTGCGATGCTGGAAAATTCCGCGCTGACGCGTATAACATACCCCGCTACTTTCATTGCTTTATTTACCATGTAACCTTGTTTGACTTTATATGGTTATATATAAAACTAAACTTTTAATACAGTTCTGTACCACTAAATTGTCCTATAAAGATATGTATTTATTCATGTATTGAGAACCTTTTTTACCCTAAATAATAAATATTGCATTGTTTATTAACATTGTGATGTTAAAGATTTGAATTTTCTGATTGGTTACTATCGCTGAAACTGTACATGGAATAACAACATATAATTTGTACGTCGACAAGAGAGATACAGCACAAAAGTATGTAGAGTCTTGAATCAGAACATGTTGGCGACATAAGTGTAATTGCATCGCTCCATCCATGTTTATATGATCTAAGGTGTGAACTACTTTACTGACTATTGACTTTATTAGGTGTAATTAAGTGATATTTTATATCTAAATTACATGTTAGCTTGATGCAATAAATCTATACTTTTAATTGTTTGTTTCTCAACAAAACATTCTATTCTAAAAAAAATTCTAAAATGTACTGCTAAATTCGCAACTTTATGTCGCCACAACATTGGAAAACATAATTAAACTGGAACGCGCACTGCCGGTCTCTGCCATAGAAACGTAGCGCGCCGAGAGAGATGGTGCAAGGGGGATTTCTGTCACTGTCACTCAATACAATTGGGAAACTGATCATTAATATAATTAATTCAAAACATCAAATAGGCTGCTCTATGCATGCGCGAGAGTAGGACAGAGAATCCCCCTTGTGGCCCTCTCTCTCGGATCGCGCTGGCCGACGGAGCGCGCGGTCCAGTATAATTATAGTTGAGTGTTCACAATCGATAAGGATGTGTTTTATGGTCAGTGCATTCAGGATTGTTGCACTGTTCACAGGCGGGTGGAGGATTGGAGTTTAGGAGATGCTTGTGTGTCCGATTCGTAGTCTTTGAATGATGATTTTACTTTTCTTGGAAATGGGGGCAGCTTTAAATGGGTTTACTGTTGGATTGATCTCATGAAGTTTGGAGTGTATACTGTTCCAGTGCGTCTGCCAGGTTTTGCGTATGTGGCTTTAGAACGCTTTTAAGTCTGTAAAGTGTTTGCGGCACGACCTGCTGCCTCATTCCCGGGAATACCAACATGTGATGATGTCCCATATCAGAGTTATGGATACCTCCTGAGAAGAAAGATGTCTGGTGGAGACGTGAATGGATTGCACGAGCAGATTTTAGGTGTATACATCTTTGAGGGAATGTATGGAAGCCAGGGAATCTGATGTACATACATACAGCTACTTAGGTGTATCTTGGTGTTAAAGTATTTATGACTTCTAGGATGCCGAATAGTTCTCCAGTATGGATGCTGGTGGTGATTGGAAGTGAGGTGCATGCAATGATGTCATCACCATTGACAACTGAACAACCGACGCCAAGTTCGCTTTTCGAAGCGTCAGTATAAAGGACTGTGTCGTAGCGATTCTTGGTAACCAATTCGGTAAATGTCTGCCTTAGGATCTCACTTGGTGTTTCGAGTTTTGGAAGTATGCTAAGTGTTGTATCGATAGTAGGAATTGTTTTCCTCCATTGGGGGGGGGGGGGGGGGTCTATTGCTACTGGATTGGATAATGTTTTAGAAAGTTCTACATTAGCAAGAAGCGGCGGGAGCATTTCAGGTAGTGGGATTGGGTTTGGCGATGGAAGTCGGGGAATAGGTGGATTTTGAGTATTGGCGGATACTCCGGTAAAGTAAGCCAGAAGAAGCAACCGTAATCTAGGCGTGAACGGAATAGTGACCTATATATTGTGATCAGCATGTCTTCTTCAGTCCCCCACTGATGATGGGCCAGTGTTTTCAAAAGGTTCAGTCTACTTAAGCCCTCTCCTCTGATATTTTGAATGTGGAATTTCCAGTTTAGTCTGCAGTCAAAGGTGACTCCTAGTATTTTGTGATGACTTACAAAGGAGAGGTGTTTGTTATAAAGTAAAATCACTGGGTTGGGGGTTTTGATACGTCTTTTGAAGAACTTCATTACCTTAGCTTTTGTGACAGAAAAGTGAAGCCCGTTATTTGAAGTCCACCGTGAGAGTTGGTTCACTGCGTCCTGAATTAGGTTCCCTGTAGTTATGCTGTCCTTTCCATGGCAGAATATGATTAGGTCATCCACATAAGGAAGGTATTAACAAAAATTAAAAATTAACAAAATGTACTATTGTTTGCGTTTTGTCCGGACTCGCTTCTACTGTTTTGAACTACTTCCTTGGTCCTAGAGTCCTGGAATTTTTTTGCAGTAGGTAGCCTATACCTGGAAAGTGTGCCAGACGGCCATCAAATTTCGCTTTCTAAAAGGGGACCCCCCCCCCCCACGAATTATGTTCTGAGATGCTGTTTTTGAAAGTAAAACGTGCATGACTTTTACATATATACGACAACCAATTGGTCTCAGATTTTGCATACACATGCCTTTACTGGTGCCAAGTTGAACTTTAGGAAATTGGGGGGGGGGGGGGTAAACACATGTTCTATCCTTCATGGTATTCGAATTAAAGGTCTCAACGAAAGGAACCGTTTTCTACCAACTACTGCCCTTCTTTCTGTCCTCTTATCAAAGTGCGAGGTTTAGGGGAAGAGGAACTAGTTTTATCCTTCATGGTACTCTAATGAAAAGGCTCAACGAAAGGAATTAATTTCGACCAACCATAGCCCTCCTCCTCGACCTCTTATCGTGATCAGGTTTGTTTTGCTTGTTTATCAACGATGTAGCTGACGTTATCTACTGCCATAAGTTACTATACGCAGATGACTTGAAGATATACTCTATTATATCAAGTGCTGAAGACTGTTTACAACTCCAAACAAACGTTAATGCTTTAAGCAATTGGTGTAATGTTAACTCGTTGTCTCTTAACGTCGCGAAGTGTAAAATAGTTTCTTTTACCCGTACAGTGCGCCCAATTCAGTTCGAATACACTATTAATGATGCAAAATTACAGCGTTTTTTCTCAATAAAAGATTTAGGTGTCACGTTTGATAGTAAATTTACTTTTAGTGACCATATCAAAGATGTCTGTCATTCAGCAAATCGTATGCTTGGATTTATAATTAGAAACTGTAAACACTTTTCTAATCAATTAGCACTTCGATCGTTGTACTATAGTTTAGTGCGTTCTAAAATTGAGTACTGTTCACTTATATATAATCCGACATACACGGCCCATAAGAATGCTCTTGAATCTATACAAAGAAAATTTCTAAAATTTTTGCACTATAAAACTTATGGTACTTATCCTGTGAGAGGTTTTGATCACAAAGAATTGCTGCATATGTTTCAATTTCAATCATTAGACACTAGGAGAACTATCAATTATGTAACATTTCTATTTAATCTACTGCACAATCATATTGACTGTCCTGATCTATTGAAAGCTATCTGTTTTAAAATACCTCATACCAGTGTATGGAATACTAGTTCTAGAACATTTCACTACAACACTCCCCGCACAGAAATTCTATTTCAATCCCCTATTGTCACTATATGCCGTATATTTAATTCAATAAGCCAACGCTGTGATATCAACAATTCTAGCTTGCCATCAATATTGCAACAATGTTATTACATTGATTTTTTGTCTTTTATTGCTTCTTGTTTTTCATGTTATATACACAATACGGAAATGCATTGTTTTGTCAGCATTTTTGTTTCGATTTTCTGTGGGTAAATCTTTATTTACTTTTCTAATGTTAATTTTGTTTATTAGAGTTCTTTTATGTTAATTATAAGTTTACTAATTTAGTTATTATTTTAGCTATATGAAACACTACGTGCTTAATGAAGTTAAGTTAAGTTTGTCTTGTAATTGGAAAGATTTTCTGTTGGACATTTATTAAATATTATTATATTATTATTATCAGGTATATTCCCTTATACCTCAAGAACGGATTGTCAAAAGGGGGTACTCACAAAGGGCGATTGAGACGTCTGCAAGAAATATATCCATTGGTGATGTCAAAAGCTATTTCGGTTAAAAAAATGCGCTTTATCTGCACAAGGGTTGTGCACAATTTATACTTGTTTTAAGTTAATTAGATTTTAAAGATGTGTCTTGATGAGATCTACAAAAAAGGCTTCTACACTTTTTGCGTCGGGTTCAAAATAAAGGCGCAGAGGGCATTTTCTAAATGTTATAACAGCGTGTTTCAAAATGAATAGAGGGGTTTCAACATGTTATAATATTTGATAGATGAAACTTACAGCCACAAGTGATATATCAAATGAAAGAGAAACTCAAACAGTTTTTGTTTGTTGGCATCAGTGCGTATGTTTCCGCCGCAATCCGCTAGAAAGCGCTAATAGCAAAGATGGCGACTAAAGAACAGAAAGCGTTTTGTGTTTTACAGTTTGCAAAGACGGAATCTGTTGTTACTGTGCAACGTGCGTTCCGGATTAAGTTCGGTTGTGCTCCTCCAGGTGATAACAACATTCGTAGATGGTATCATCAGTTTCAAGACACTGGCTGCCTTTGTAAAGGCAAGAGTACGGGACGACCACGAACTAGTGAAGAGAGCGTTGAGCAAGTGCGTAATTCGTTGACGCGTAGCCCTATGAAATCCGTTCGGAAGGCTAGTCGTGAATTAGCAATTCCTGTGACGACTGTTTGGAGAGTTTTACGGCGACGCTTACAGCTACGTCCTTATCGTTTGCAGTTGTTACAGGCTCTGAAGCCTACCGACCATCTTTTACGTGCCAACTTCGCTAACGACATGTTGTTCCATGACAATGAAGATTTTCTGGATCTTGTCGTCTTCAGTGATGAATCGACCTTTCAGCTTAGTGGTCGAGTTAACACCCATAATGTTAGGATTTGGGGCTCAGAAAATCCCCACATGGGTACAAGTGCAACGAGACTCTCCTAAATTGAATGTTTTTTGTGCCATATGCCGGCAGAAAATGTATGGTCCTTTCTTTTTTGGTGAAGCAACTATCACTGGTACTTCTTATCTGGATACGTTACAGCAATGGCTCTTCCCTCAACTGACACATGATGAACCAGAAAACTTCATCTTTCAGCAAGATGGTGCGCCGCCTCACTGGCATAATGAGGTACGCGATTGGCTTAACCTAACTGTACCCTACCGCTGGATTGGCCGTAAGGGGCCTAATGACAGGGCTTGTTTCGCATGGCCTCCACGGTCACCCGACCTAACCCCGTGTGATTTTTATCTTTGGGGGTTTATTAAGGACCGTGTGTATGTGCCTCCACTGCCAGCCGACCTTCCCGATTTAAGAAACAGGATTGAAACAGCTGTTGCAGCAATTACTAATGAGACACTCATCAAAGTTTGGGAAGAACTAGTATACCGTCTTGACGTATGCCAAGTGACGAATGGTGCTCACATTGAACACTTGTAGGCTATTATGTAAAACTGTTTGAGTTTCTCTTTCATTTGATATAACAATTGTGGCTGTAAGTTTAATGAAGTATTAAA